AGACTTGTTTGAGGAGGTTCCCGGAAAAATTTTTACCCTGGTCGGTCAGCAGCCGCTCCGGAGCACCTTTGTCCATGACGTAGCCTTGGACAAAGGCGTCCACGATGGCTGCTGCCGACTGATTTGCCAGGGGCCAGGCCATAGGCCAGCGTGTGAAGTATTCGACCCCTGTTAGCAAATATCTATTGCCCCTAGGGGTGGCGGGAAACGGCCCCAGGATATCCAACGCTACGAGTTCGTTCACCCTGGAGACTGTGATGGACTGCAACGGCGGGTTCGACTCCCGAGCTGGTGGTTTGCGTTGCGCACACCGGGGGCATGCTGCCAGCAGATCCGTGACATCCCGTGTCATGCCCGGCCAAAAAAAATCCAGCTGGAGCGAGGCGAGGGTCTTTTGGGTACCCAGGTGGAGGAGGCGCTCATGAGCAGCCCACACCACCTTACCCCGTAACCCCGCAGGAACTACCAGCCGGTGACGGTGGGATTTACCGTCCCAATGCATGAGCAAGCCCGCGTGTATTTCCCAATTGTCGGCATCACCCGTCCCACACCCCCTCTCCCTGGCGCGACGACGCAGCGCGAGGAGGGAGGCGTCCTCCATCTGGAGGCGTCCCCACTCAATCACAGGCAACCCAAGCAGGGAATCCCTTCCCTGTTTCCCGATCCCATCGGGGAGCGATGTGTCAACATCGGCGGCGGCCGCCAGGACTGGAACCGTCATGTCCCCAGCTGGCTTGCAACGCCCCGACCCCAGGAGGCATGCGCATTCGGAGGTGGTTGGCATGCGCGACAGAGCGTCCGCATTTGTGTGGCGAATGCCCTTACGATAGGTGGTGTCAAAATCGAAATCCTGGAGGACCTCCAGCCATCGGGACAATTGTCCCGATGGCTGTTGAACCTTCAGGGCGTACTGCAGTGCCGCATGATCCGTACGGACAGTGAAATGCTGACCGTACAGATATGGGCGGTACTGTTGGATGAAGAAAACAATTGCCAACAGTTCTCTACGGGTGACACAATATTTTTGCTCCGCTGGAGACAACACCCGACTGCCGTACGCAACCACCCGTTCCACGCCATCAACCACCTGGGAAAGCACGCCTCCGATACCTGTGTTGCTCGCGTCGGTGTCGAGCAAAAACGGCCTCGAAAAATCGGGGTAAGTCAAAGGAGGAGCCTTCACCAATGCATCCCGAAGGGAGCAGAAAGCTACTTCCTCATCCCGACCCCAGTGGAACCGAACCCCTTTTGATGTCAAAGCATGTAGGGGTTTGGCAATTGTAGCAAAATTAGCGACGAACCGTCGGTAATATGAAGCGAAGCCAATAAAACTCCTCACCTCCCCCACCGAGGTCGGAATTGGCCAGGAGCTGACACACTGCGTTTTGGCGGGATCGGTAGCAATACCCGAGCGCCCCACGATGTGCCCCAAATAACGCACTGACTCGCGAAACAAATAGCATTTTTGGGGCTTAAATTTCAAATTAGCAGCCCGCATCCTTTGGAAAACCGCCCGCAGCCTCTGGAGATGTTCGTCAAAGGTTCTTCCTAAAACAATTACGTCATCCAAATAAATCAGGCACGATTCCCATTGCAATCCAGCCAAAACCAATTCCATCAACCGCTGGAAGGTTGCCGGCGCTGAGTGTAAGCCCATCGGTAACCGGTTGAATTGGAACAGGCCGTGCGGTGTACGGAAAGCGGTTTTAGGCTTCGAATCATCGTCCAGAGGAAGCTGCCAGAATCCCGAAAGTAAATCTAGTGTGGAGAAGAATCGCGCTCCCGCCAAGGCGTCCAGCGATTCGTCCATCCGTGGGAGCGGGTATGCGTCGGCAACCGAAACCTTATTAAGGCGACGGAAATCTACGCAAAACCGCAACGAGCCATCCTGTTTCTTAACCAGGACAATCGGTGCTCCCCAAGGGCTGGTAGAGGGAGAGATAATGTCGGCGGCTAACATGTCATCGACAGCCGATTTGACATGGTCCTTTTCGGCGGGACTCAACCGAAAAGGATTTTGGCGAATAGGCGCGCTGTCACCCGTGTCAATATGGTGACGCAGCAGGTGAGTACAACCCAAATCGTATTTATTCCGACTGAAAACGTCGGAAAATTCCTTTAGCAGTGATCTAAGCCGTTGGCGCTCTAAATTGGACAGGTTCGTCGATCCCGCACAAAGCGCGTCGAGCCACCCTTCATCGCCGTCCGAATGCGGGTGCGTCCGAGCAGCAGTGTCAATGTGGTTCACGGCAGGTTCCTCGCAGGGCACCGGCGTCGCGTGAGCGAGCACAGTCCCTTGGGGAACCACTACTGTCTGCGACCCGACATTGAGGACCGCGATGAAGGGGTCCTCGTCCCCCCTTACGATGGTCTGGGCCGGAATTAAATGAGGCCCATTAACCCCGGCCCTAGACGGCCCCAGCACAACACCCTGATCCCCAACACCCTTAGCGAAGGGCCTACGAAGTTTAAGAGGTACCAGCATTTGTGCCCCCGGCGGCACACGCACTGTTTTTACGACGAACGCCGGTACCGTCGCGAACGCCGTCCGAGTCGCTACAGGGGAAGGCAGGAACGCCATACGTCGCCCCGACGGAAGCTCAATGCATCCTTGGTCGATCAAAATACGAATTGGCATCCTGCCCAAGAAGTCCGTCCCCAGCAGGCACGGAACTGCCAGTGAGGAGGAGACAAAAATCGGCCCCGACAATTTGATGTCCCCGATAGAAATTTGCGCTCGAATCTGTCCCACGATGCCGAGAGAGCCCCCGTTAGCGGCATAGAAAGGGACATTAACCGGTAGCAAAGGACGGCTCTGCACCGGTAGAATATTGTAAATTAGTTCCGAAATAATTGTCGCCGATGCCCCTGTATCGACTATGATGCGTACCTCCACCCCATCGATGTAACCGACCACGGCCGACGATCCCGACGCCGCGGCCACCACGCGATGGGCCAACACGGACCACCGCTCGGGCTCGATTTGAGTCCCCGCAGTGATCCGCGCCGGTCCATCGCAGCGCCCCACCGGCCCCCCGTTCGTTACGGTGCGAGAGTGTGCGACAGGTGGGTGCGTTGGCCAAACATGTGAGGTGCCGCGACTCGCCGGATCATGGTGCTGGAGCTTGGGAGGAGGAAGAGGAGGGCCGGCGTCCTGTCGAGGCGTCGTCCCCCGCTGTCGAGGAGAACGGCACCCCGAGGCGACATGGCCCCGGATGCCGCAGTTGAAGCACCGCGGGAGCGCCGATGGAGACGATGGACGGTCGAAACGCCTCGACCCGTCCCGACCCGGCCGCGCCCCCGTCGTCTGTTGCCGTCGATGGTCGACGGCATAAAGTTCTTCTGACGGAAGGGTGGCTGCAGCCACCGCACGCCCAGCCGATGCCCTGTTTGCCTTTCGCCGCTGCTGCAGAAGGTTGGCGTGGAGGAGTCGCGCAGCCTGGAGGGAGGTCATTTCTGCATCCCCTTGTGCGATGACGACGATGTCGAGGTCGTCCGCCAAGAGGAGGATCTTCTCCGCGACCATTGCGTCCACGCCGTCGTCGTCCATGCGGGGAAAGGCTGTTTTTGCCAGCGCCAGAAGACTTGTCCGGAAAGCCAGAGGCGACTCTTTTTCACCCCGCCTGCGATCGTAGAACTGCTGACGGCATTCGGCTGAAGGTCCATAGACCCCGGCCAGCAGCTGTAGCGCCATTGGTAGTGTAGCCCGCTTCTCTTTTGGTGCCGACGTGAGTGCGGCGAGCGCGTCCCCATCGAGGAGCGCCGGCAGCGCGCAAAGGGCCTCCTCGTCGGACCACCGCGCCATCTCCTGATGGGCGAGGAAGCGTCGCCGGAAGCCGCCCCAGTCCCCCTCCGCACCGATGAATTCTTTCAGCGGGGGCAGTCTTTGGTGAAGCGCAGCGGTCGATGTGGACTCCCGCAGGTTGCTTTCACCTCCCTTTGGCGGTGCCTCGGCGCGACTGGCCGATGGCATCGCCTGTCGCGGCAGCGATGACGCATCCTTCGGCTGCGATGACGCTGCAGCCCCGGCGACGGCGATGTCGGAGCCGATGTCTAAGCTGGCCACGCCCCGAACAGCCGCGGCGTCCATGGCGGGAAATTCAAATTTTGAAGTCGCTGAAATGGCGGGAAAGTGCTCCGGCCGCCGGTTCTCCTCGCCCTGCGGTGGACCACCAGCCCCCAACCGCGTAATGCCTTCCAGTGTGGCGGCAGCGGCATAAAGTAGCTCCGCCAGCCGTTCGTGAGCCAGTCGTAGTGCATCTGGCTGCGGCCCCTCTCCATGCTGACGTCCCGGTGAGAAGGCGCCAGGCTCCGGCTGCACCCCATCTTGTTGCTCTGTCTCGGGCTCGGCGATTTCCGCGGCGTCCTCCTCTCGTGGTACCCTGGTCCGAGCTGTATGGCGCGTTTCCATTTTTACCACTTCTGACGCCAGATGAAGTACCCGTCGAGGACGCTTGACAACGGAGTTGAGGCACACGTATATTTATTTAACAAGTTGCCAGTACAGGACAGCACTAGAGGGGGTAGCGGCCCCCTCACCCGTATAACTCAGGGAATACCCCTAGCTATCCATAGCCTATCCCCTGAGTCCTCCACTAAAGAGCTAGGGGAGGCTGTCTGGCCCGACACTGGTAATCGGGCTCGGTACCCGGAGTCCCAGAGCACTGGCTCTGGTTCACGGGACCACGCCACTGGCTCGAGCCTGATCCCGTGGGGCCCTGATAAGGGCGGCGATCAGGGGGAGTCCAGGGCTCTAGCTACGACGTCTTCCGACTTCTTAGCTTAACTATAACATAACTGACTAAGCCCATATAACGACCCCTTTTTATACCCAACCCTCCTTGAGGGGTGGGGCCCCGGGGGATCGTAACGCCGAACCAGCCCCCCCCCAGGGTGTCTGGCTCGGACGTCGCAGAGGGCATCTCCCTGTGCACACACGTAGCCCCGCCCACTGTGTTTCTTTCCCATAGGCTGCCATGCATAACGGCCCTCTCTCCAACATCCCTACACATGCAAACACACACCCACACAGAGAGAGCAACAAACATCATTCTTACAAATAGCATGCTTAGTTTAGACAAGACTGAGAAACAAGCATCACGAGGACATCACAGAAGATCTTCGACATCGAACGACGTCACTAAACTTTACACATTGAAGGACAACTCGCAATTGTCACGATTGCGAGTGTCAAGAGTAAAGCGCATGCCATTGTCAGTGGCTGGCAAATATGCATAGCAATCTTGTTCGCGAAATACCCAGCATAAACTAAAACTAAACTTTACACTTTTTTCTTTACCAGGTAAGGCCCGCTGAGCTATACAGCTCTTTTTCAGAAGCGACCTGCCCATAAATGATAGCTCAACGAAGTGGCTTATCATGTGGAAATGTATAGCAGCCAAATACTGGAAACGCATCCTAAATTGGAAGTGAAAATCCACGTGACCGCGGGGAGAGACATGCAAACTCCAAATATACAGCAGGCGTGAGAGTCGGGCTCGTACCCACGACCTCCTGTATACCAGGCGAGGTAGTTAACATCTCACCACCGTGGCGCCCCTTCAGACACGGCCGCAGCAGCAGCAGCAGCACATCCGTATTCTGAGAAAATGTATGATGCCAATTTTCGTTTTTTTATGAGGGAGATCTTTTTTTCATGTTATGGCTTAGAAAGGTCATGAAAAATAAATCATTAAGTTGTCAGGCACTTTATATGACCGTGTGTCACCTACAGAAGAATAGATGTTCATTATGAAATACCTTGGGAGAGAGAGAGCTTTGTTTTGTTAAATTCTACGTCTTTTCTCTTTCCGTCAACAAAATCGACCGGCAACAGCAAAGCCCGAAATTTTTTACAGACGAAGGACGATAGATGGATGCCGAAGGATGTTTTAAGTAAATGTTACTTTGGAGACTTCTCAACTCCACGTCGGCTCGCGAACCCCCCGTCCCATCAACAAAAGGAAATCCAACAACCCAACTCCTGTGCATCATTGCCGTTGTTTTTTGTCGTGTTTGTTAACGGGCAATGGTTTCTTTTTTTTACAATTCCCGTTTCCTCCCTCCCGCCGACCCCGCCGCCCAATTTATTACCCACGATCAGGCATCCTCGGCAATGCGTGCATTCGTTATCGTTACGTTGGGTACAGCATTTAATTCGTGGAGCCAAAAGAAGCCACCGACTTTTCGAGTGAACGGTAACTTAACGAATGAGAAGAGACACTTTTTTAATATATATCTGGTTTATCCCTTTTTAAATATCCTGTCATAGCCACTCCATTACTCCCGCTGACATTCTCCCACGTTAACTAATTATAGTTTAAGCTTAGCAAAGGAACGGAAGTGAACAATGATGTTGGAGCGCCTATTGGTACAATTTATCTTTGTCTCGGTTTTTGGGCAGTGCTTGCTTTTTTACATTTCAATATTCAGAAAGTGACAACATGTTTTTTTTTGTCAAACAAGTACTCAAACAAAAATACAGACGTAATATCAAACGCAAGTACGTAATTAAAATTACACTTTAAAAACCGATGAGGGTTGGAAAAAATTACAAGGCTTGTGCAATAAATCTACACAATCAATCTTTGATTGCAGAAATGCATTTCTCAACAAACACAACAATGCGCACAGCATACAAGTGCGAGGAAAACCATCCCCATGAGGAATCAAATCGTGAAATATGTATCATTTTCACTGTGGCATCTAAATTACGTTTAAGGTAATGGCAGTCTCTTTAAATCGACTGTCAGTGAAGATATCTGTCAGTGTTCCTAAATCTTCCCTTTATTTTTTAAAGGCATTTTTTTAATTGAGCATACTTCAGTTTGCATGGGAGTACAAAGTGTCTGGTAAACAAGTATATTGCTCAGAAATCACCACATTATTTCACGCTAAATGTGCAGATTTTCCCATGATTTTATATATTTAATAATTTCCATCGATTCTATCTTAATTGACCAGTTTTTTTTATTTATTCATGCCAGTATTATTGGTCCATTTAATCCATTTGAAAATTACAGCAGTTACAAATTGGTCCATATCACATCCATATTGAGGCATCATCTTAAACAATCCGGGTAGTATAAGAATAACAGTGGAACTACTACATCTGATTAAGCTCAAAATGACTAAATGCAATTATATATAATTGGCTGACTAAATAGATCTTAACACTTGAGTAAGTTAGCAGTATGTGGACAGTTCAAATCTCACAGCCACCTGCTAGGGTAGAGTCTGCTAGAAATAATCACGTGGCACATAGCTCAGCAGAAGAAGCCGCATTGCGGTTGGTGAGATGGACCGTATCCTGCAATGATTGCAAGTAATTTTCCCTGTAAATGATAACAGCACCTCTGTGGAATTGTTACACGTAATTAAGACCTAAGTGAAACTAAACGTAATAATTCAAAGTCAGAGCTTTGGGAAATTAACGGTATTTAGTTTAGGACTCTGCGTTAAGCCATGCATATAAATACATTTATTCAAATTAAAGTGTAAAAGTCAATATTAAGGATAATAAATGTGCAAAAAGAATACATATGCCTGCGCATTTAAAGCATGGGATTTAAAGTCTGCTATTAGAAATGGCAAAGTTGCCCAAAGAGAAAAGACAAGTGTTCAATTGTCTGCCAAACGTGCCTACCAATGCGTGGCTCTGTCAGAATCTCATAACCCTCCCCTCCTGCACTTGCACCGATCGGAACAATGAGCACTTTGCCCGTAGTAAGCCAAGCACGCATCTGCAGAGCAGCACTTTGAAATGAAAATAGAGAGAAAAAATACATATCAAAAACGCGGCAACGGTAATCACAACTGCCATCTGCGCTGCGCATAAGCCAGTTGCGGAAGTGTCCGCAGAGTACCCTTGCCAACGTCAACTGGCAGTGCGACCGTGACGGCGACTGGGGTGTGCGTGCATGCGTGCGTGCTTGCAAGAGGTGCTGTGCTTCACGGCAAGCGTTTGTCTGCTTCACTTGAGTAGCTCGAGGTAAGCCACAGGCACCTTGCCCTTCTGTGTCCCGCGCTCGCTCATGAGCCAGTCGGAACCCAGCCCAGGCACGCTGTACACCGTGATCATCTGCACGCACACACACACGCAACAAAGACGCCACGGTGGCGGGATGTCATCTACCTCGTCCGGTATGGGGGAGGTCGTGGGTTCGATCCTGAACCTGATGCCTGTAAATTTGGCATTTGCTCGTTCTCCCTGTGGTTGTGTGGATTTTTTTCCAGGTCGTCCAGTTTTTCCCTCCGCATTCAGAAACATTCGGTTAAGAGTATTTGGCTTCTATAAATGTCCACATGATAAGCCACTTCGTTGAGATATCATTTGTGGCCAGGTCACTTTTGAAAAAGAGCTATACAGATCAGTGGGCCTTACCTGGTAAAACAGAATTTTTGGGCAAGTGCTGTTAGCGAGCACCTATGAAAGCCGGCATGGTACACGAGGGGGTAGGTGGCCACCACCATGCCCGACCGTCATTGTCTTCCCAGTCGCGATGTTTACACACTGCACCGGGCACTCATTTGAGGCCCAGTCGACCTAGGGGAGGCCAGTTCAGATAATCGTCACTGGTGTTGGCCGTGAGCGGGAATTGAACTCGGGTTGCTGGATTCGTAGTGCAGCACGGTAACCACTGCACCACTGCACTCCCACTACGCTCAAAGGCAACGATCAAAGATCCCCCCCAGCCCCTATCATCACCATCCATATCCCTATCACTACCCCCATCATCAGTACCCCAACGCCAACCCTCCTTAACCACACCCACATTCCACCTGTTTCCATAACTACACAACTTTTAATAACTCCGATTTTGTATTTAAACCACTATCATCTTATGTACAATTTAACAATTATTGTAAAGCGCCTTAGACTAAGGCGCTATGTAAATCCATATAAGATAAGCACTTGCCCCCAAAAGTCTGTTCAGGTTAAACGTGTACCGTTTCGAGTCCATAGTTGAGAATTAAATAGGCTTTCCCATCACCCTTGGTAAGTTTATATAAAATTACATCACGCACAACCTTCGACAAGGTGGCATGTTTATTTACATTTCGCCTTGATGTTTGTAAAAAAGGGAGCTCTCGCACATATGCCAAGGCTCGACTGAGAACAGCGAGGTCAAGCCAGGCAATTACTCTGCGACATACGGCACTATTTTTGTTCGTCCCCTGCCTGCCTCGATTACATCACATCAACCGTGGCTATGGTTGTGATAATCCATAAGTTTTACGTGTACACGTACTGTCACTCACTTGAGACAGTAAATCTAGCTGTGACGGTCCCACCTGATGACGGAGACTTGTGTTGCCTCCGAAACGTCGTGATTTATAATTTTATTTATATTATTTCAATAATTTATATTTTATTATTTCTTTTTACCTACGTGACTTTACCAAAAAAACCTAAGAGTACGTACTGTCACTTCATCAATCCTCGACTGGATGAGGGCCTTCCCATGCTGCGTCATTTGGCCATACTTCATCAAGATCGTCAGTGCAGGTCAGAGTACAGTGCAGCACTGTATTTTGCTATCGTGTTCGCCGATTCCCACCACGTTGCCCTGCAGCGCAATGACAACCCGTCTGTGCATGGCTGTCACTCATCTAAGTGACACGATCCACGTTCAGCCCCTGCATAGTTGCCGAGATATAATGGGATCTGACAGCATCCGGAACATTCCAAGTGATTTGCTCATTATCAATCCAGTGGCGTCATTACAATGCTAGCTCTAAAAGGTAAAAGCGAGGTTTGGCTCTCAAATGGATACCATGTGATCGTCTAGTACCGCTCTGTACCACGCAGCATGCACCAAACTCGCTGTTAAATTACAGCTCCTTCCCCGACGGCTTAGCCACCAATTTTCTGCTCCTGTTACGCTCCCCTCCTACATCTCAACTTTCCAGCCATCAGAATAAATGCAGGTTCCTCAGAAGAGACTCGTAGGAAACAACAGACATTGCTGAAGCTCGTCGAGCCAAACTACGACGGGCTAACCCGACACAATAGATAGTGAAATAACAAGCGCTTTGCAGCACTACAATTTGGCACGCGTCACAGAATATATTTGGCACGTGGCGTCAGGATCAGCACCTTCATGGAGTTTGTAGTCAGGTGCGTTCTGATCCTTTAAAATCACGGCCAACATTGCAGGAAGGGGCATGTCGGCATGGAAAACTTTGGTAGGCCGAACACATCCGACTCGTGAACGAACCCTAAATTTAGAACAGAACAAGTCCTCCAGGATACTTACTCTCATGCCGAAATTGTCCAGTATATACAGGGGTCGGATCTCTTGGAATTTCTCATTTACTTGATATAGCGAGCGTGTTGTGACGGTTCCACCTGAAGACGGAGGCTTGTGTTGTCTCCGAAACGTCGTGATTTTTATTTTATTTTTATTAATTTAATTTTTTTACCTATGTGACTTTACCGAAAAAACCCAAGAATATGAATCCTTGCAGTCACGAAAGCTTCAAATCTAGAATTTTGACTTTTGAGTTTGATAATTCACATGAAGACCGCAACAAGGCACGAATAAGCTGCTTATATTGTAAAAACGTCGGAGCTATTTGAAACATCGCTGTCGAGGTCATATTAAAGCCTCAATGAGCTTGAACGCAAGCACAATCCACATTTGCTTGCCATGAACTGCATCTCATTACTGCAAGTTTGATGTGCGTTTCTGAAAAGACGGATTTGCGTAAGATACATCAAAGTGCCAAATACAATTTATGTTGTATTGTAATAGCAGCTGTCTTGTTGCAGCGAAATCAAGTGGGCTTCTTGCATTTCACACGCTCGCGTTCAACTATCTTTTCGTCCATCTGTCCAATCACTTGTCCATTTAAACAAAAAAACGAAATGTTCGTGAGCCGACGTTGACGTGGGGTCACGCAGCATTACACAGATGGGACGCGGCCAGAACATATCTAACGAGCATTGCATTTAAAACAATGACACATCTTTAAATAACGCACATGAGGATCAGTAACCAAGCCACCTTGCTGCCCTACCAAGACAGTATGCCTAATTTGGTGTGTGTGCATAAGCGATGAAGCCTATAGAAATCCGTGGAAGCTCCTCTGACCTTTTAATTTAACGTTTTTTTTCAAAACAGCTGAAATCCGGCGACAGATATTGGTACAAGACCGCGATTATTTGTAAACATTTTTTTGTTATATTTTCAAGCCACAAAAATGCTTTCTCCAGTAACTCTAGCCTTGCCGAAGGGTAAATTAGCTCCTGGCATGCCGTACTACAGTAAAATGTTTACTGCACCCAAATACGCAAGATTCAAACAAGTCACGGAAATGTGTAAAAGCACAGAACCATCAGCATTTCCTGAAGAAGTGTGACCGATTGACAGCGGCAGTGAGGCAGTGCTAGTTAACAGACAACCGTCGACCAGTTTAATCATAATTGGGGCTCATCATCATTGTCACTGCTGCAAAGTCCTGCCTCTGAGAACCATCTGAAATTAGGATGATAAACAGTCGTCTCTCACGGCATCACTGCTACTATCAGCCGATCCCATTGGCTCATTTATTTTGATGGTGATCAAAGACAACAGGACCACAATGCACTTCTTCAGGAAATGATAAATATTTTGCATATGCACAGAGGCTATGTGTTTTTTTATGTATTTTAAAGTCTTGTTTGAAACTTGCGGTTGTCCAGCCTGTCTTATTATTATGTAAGGATGGGTTTTTTTTACGTCAGTTATAGATGTAACCCAAATACGTGCATTAAAATGCAACCACAGTACTTGTTTAGCTGTGAAGCCGGTGCTTCCAAACGTTCCTACACACACTGTAGATAAAGCATTACACTGGAGCATTAGCAGGGATGACCAGACGGCATTATGATGATTAATTGTAATTGGGTTTTGGGAGGTTCGGCTGTGATTAAAATATAAAGGTAATAGAAAATTATGCAGAAATAAAATACATTTTGACTTGTAAGAGATGCTGTTCCTGCTGCTACAATGTTTTTTATTAATATAGTTGGCATGCAATCACTTTGTAGTTCGTATATTAACATTTAGCAGATTTAACAAAACACATCACTTAAATTGCTCTACTTAGGAATCTTTCATAATTTGCAAAATGCATAAAAATAAGTATAATTTTTTAATTAGGTTTTCTTCATTCAGCCTACAGGTTTCAGGTCTTTAAAATTATTTAACAGCGAGGGTATCCTATCGTGCATGAACAATGTGTAATATAGTATTCTCAGCACATCTGAAAATGTTAAGAGGTTTTCAGCTGAATCATTAGAATTAAGACATTAGTATTTAACTTCCAACATATTTAGAATCAAATCAATCATTGAAGAATTCTGTGTTCAAATTTCTCCTCCACCACTCCAGTTAGTATTTCTCGTGTGCCTGGGTTGCTATTTTCATAATGAACATATTTTCTGCTGTACAACATATTCCATAAGTTAATTTGGTATTGTATGATTATAATCAAGATTTAAACAAAAAATATTTGCTAGGTTGCATGTTACATCAAATGTACATTTAGAGGTGTGAAAATCAACCTGACTAAACTCTACCCATGAAGTGTCCATTCTCAAAATACGGTGACCAGTGTTAACTACAGCACCCAGTCCGCTCGCCTATTTACCATTGTGGCTTCGCACGTATACATTGTGCATCCACACACACTCGTAATATACGTATTCATAAATTGGCCAAATCTCAATGTAGGGCAGTTATCTCAGGCTGTTTCACCAAGATTCAGTGAGATAGTTCTAGGTGATTGATTATTTTATTTCTATGATTACTTTTATTAATTTTAACTTTATTTTTTACCTACGTGACTTTACCGAAAAAAACCCCAAGAGTATGAATCCTTGCAGTCACGAAAGCTTCAAATCTAGAATTAAGAGATAGTTCTGAATTATTAAAACAACTATTATAATTATTAATTATTATAAGCTATACACACATTCCTACACATACTTTAATTACCAGGCTTTCATATAAATGCGCCATGCTTTCATATAAATGCTATTCATTGAGAAGAATCATCATCATCATCAGTCACCACGTCCGGGCATATCCTGGCTTGGTGCAACATCTCTTTACATTTTACCACCTGCTGGCTCTCTGCATCACTTTACAGTTTTTCATCTTCTTGGTTCTTTCGGTTCTTTCGGTAAAGTCACGTAGAAGGGAAATAATAAAATAATAAAAATAAAACATAATAAAATAATTCTCACGACGTTTCGGCCACAACGCAAGCAGCCGTCCTCAGGTGAAGAACAGGTCTGTCGGGAAGACAGCGTTGGAGCGTATATTTAAGCTGAGCTCAGCTGAGCTCAGCTTAAATATACGCTCCAAGCCTGGTGATGTTTCATTGCTGAGCTCAGCTTAAATATACGCTCTAATGCTGTCTTCCCGACAGACCTGTTCTTCACCTGAGGACGGCTGCTTGCGTTGTGGCCGAAACGTCGTGAGAATTATTTTATTATGTTTTATTTTTATTATTTTATTACTTCCCTTCTACGTGACTTTACCGAAAGAACCAAGAAGATGAATCCCTGCAGTCACGAAAGCTTTAAATCGAAGTTTTTCATCTCTTTTGTAAGGCTACCGCCGAACTCCCTCTCCACATCTCTCTCTTCCTTGGCCTTCCCTCTGATGTACTTCTCTCCATCCCCAACTCAAGGCGCCAACAATCAGATTGTGCCTGTTTTTCCGCACGTGATGGAACCACTTTAGTCGCGGCTGCTCTATCCTTTCAAGCGGTTTTATTTCTGTTACCGTGGACCCACGCAACATGATGGTTCGTCAGACTATCTCGTCTCATTTTTAACACCGTGATTTCAAGAAATTGTATTTCAGCGGCTTGTACTCCCTCCCTCACTCCAATAGTCCACGTATCCCCAGCATATATTACAATTCTCATTCCACACCAGTCCTTTTTATGCTTTGATCAATGTCGTTTGCTTTAACAATGATGCTCCTGATTTGCATGTCTAGACTTACATGTTTTTAAATGTCAACACTCCCGATATACGTAAACCGCATCAGCGATTTTGATTTCCTCTTGGCCCCGCCTATTTGAGTATCCGTTTATCTCAAGTATTTCACTCTTTATAACACTCCCCTTCATGATGCTAGCCTCTGAAATGGACTGTTTTCCATTTCTCAAGTTATTCCTTCACTTCCCATCTCAAATCTACCCATTTGTCTCAGAAAACATTCCATTACTAAACGTGTAAAACCCCAAATGAGCTCGATGAAACTTTCGTTAAGATTCTGCTTGGGATGTTTAGGCAATTTCTTACCAAGTAATTGTTCCATATGGAACCAACTTAAGAGCACCCTAGATAAGCGATGACTTCCTGTACTCACCGTCTTCGCTTTTTGCACGCTTAGTAGTCATTAGGCGCGTGCGGCATTTAGCGACAATTTGTTTTGGTATGGACAAAATCAGATAAAATGAGGAAAGGAGAAACTTTAGTGAGAACTGGAGTTTTGTGAAACCTTGCCATTGACCTCAGTGGAGAGAAACAGCAGCCTGCTTAACCCTTTCCCGTTTCAAGACGTCTGCAAGTTGCAGGGTGTGTGTCCGGTTCACCGCTGAATCTCGGAACGCACAAGCGATTCAGAATTCATTTTATTTAGAGAGGCATAGCGCCATTGTTTTTAAAGACATTGCACTCACCGCAGAGAACTGTAGCGACACGACCACACTCTACGATAGCTGGCCCCAAAACTGCGGTACCGATGAAGTTATTTTATTTTAGTTTTTGCTCGTATGTTCAACTTCCTTCGCACCGTACGTATTTATGTATGTTGAACTTCTTTTGCACTGCACATAGCCGAGTGCATAGCTTCAGCGGATTCCTAATATCGGAAGGAAAAGCATTCCAGACGGCTGCAGAAGCGCATCTGAAAGTGCACGATGCGGTAAACGTCTTCGTTCGATGGCTAGCCGAAAGCCGCTGCGAGGATGACCGGAGTTCGTGTGATGATGGTTTATGCTCTTTGACGAGGTCAGCAAGGTATTGTGGTTCACTTGTGGCAAGCGCTTTGAACATAGCCAACCATATTCTTAGGTTTTTTTGGTAAAGTCACGTAGGTAAAAAATAAAAATTAATAAAAGTAAAATAAATAAATAAATCACGACGTTTCGGAGGCAACACAAGCTTCCGTCTTCAGGTGGAACCGTCACAGCCACGTCAGCTGTATCAAGTAAATGAGAGATTACAAGAGCTACCACTCCGTATATATAATGGTTGAAGAGGGGAAGGGCCAAGTACGGCACACTTTTTTATTAATATGGTAAGGTGAGGCTTAAGACTAAGAATAGACTGCATAACAAAAGACTGAGCCTTTGTTGCTGTGACGGTTCCACCTGAAGACGGAAGCTTGTGTTGCCTCTGAAACGTCGTGATTTTTTATTTTTATTTTATTTGACTTTTCTTAATTTTTAATTTTAATTTTTTACCTACGTGACTTTACCGAAAAAACCTAAGAATATGAATCCTTGCAGTCACGAAAGCTTCTAATATAGCCAACCATGTTAATCGTACATCATCAGAACGGAATCAGAAGAAAAACTAAATGTGAAAGGGTTAAGCGGTGAGAAACGGGAAGAGCAAACGGAAGAGAGCGGCGAGGAAGAGAGAGCTGTCGAGCTCTAGCGGCGTACCTCGTCCGCGAGCAGTGAGAGCTCGCTGCTGTCGCCAGCGTCGTAGTCGTAGAGGACACGTGCGCGCCGTGTTCCGCTCGCCGGCTGCAGCTCGGCCGCCGTGAGCTCCGACGCGCCAGGCGGGGCGGCCGGGATCGGCACCGTGACGGGCGGCAGCGGCGCGCTGCTGTTGGGCAGGAACGTCGTCGGGAAACTGCCGACACGTGAAAGGCAGAGAGCGAGAAACTTTGTTCAGAACTGAAAGAATCTTATGCGTTGTTAAGCTCTTTTTTTTTACAGATGTCCAGTAGGGGCGGCTCAGCAAGTTACAACAACAAACAAAACAAAAACACGACAGGAGTGCGAAGTATAGGAAAGCCGAGCAAGACACGAAAATAAAAACGGTAAAAGTATTTAAGTACAAATTGCAGAAGTACATCAATTCCTGCCGATTTTTCAACAATTGCAATCTTGGGCAAGGCAGCAAAATATAAGTATAACCCGTAAAAACAAAGTTTTTCACTATAAATCCTTTATATGCGTGGCAGCGAACTTAATATAAAGGATTTAAAAATATATTCGCCTGTGGAGGACGCGGGGATCGATCCCGCGACCTTTGGCATGGGAAGCGAGGGCGCTACCAACTGCGCTACTCCGCCACGGCCTGTGGAGGGGTTACGCTCTGGGCTCTTATACTGTGACGTTCAGCCAAAGCCAAGAATTAGTTCTTTTGAATATATGTAAAATATTTTTTTTTTGCCTAAAAAGTGTAAAATTTTGGGAATTTTTTTTCACGAACATTAATTGTCTGGCACAACGAGTATGTGTGGAAAATGTCAGCTCGATTGGATCACGGGAAGTGGGTTAAAAAACGACCGAAAGATTTGCACGGTCCTAAGCAAGCAAGCAAGCACGCAAGCAAGCGAACTTAATATAAAGGATTTAAAAAATAGTCCCAGACCACACCAAGACAACAAACAGCACACAGTCCCATCCGACCACGGGTGGTGCTTTTACAGACATCTATGCCAATTTTTGAAAGAAAACGCGCCCGCTAGTACATCTCCATTGCCAACTATGGGGATTATTACAATGGAAATGTGTTTTTTGGCCAATTTGTCAAGATGTCAATATGGGCAATGAATAAAAACAAGCAAACACGTTAAAAACATCCCAGAGACAATGCTTAAGGATGAGATTGAAAAGGTCAGTTTGACAATAAGGGTGCGAGCTGGTGCACAGTCTGTGCATTATGTAGACTGCTATTGGAGTTGTTGTTTTAATGTCTTTTGTACATGTGCTTATTCATGCATGTCATAACAACACATGGATACAACACAATAACCAGACATGGTTATTATAATTAATACCATAACAACACATAGTTCGTATTGCTTACAATCCCTAATATTCTCAACTATTCTCAAATGCAATGGCTGCACGGGTGGATTGGTGATTTAATACCATGAGCACTCAACACGAAAGCAACAATGGTACGGGATTATCATGTATACCCACCTGGTTCAGCGCACTCACATTTAAAAAAGTTTTTTTACTGCTGAACTGCAGCTCTGAGTCCATCAGAAATGCATTAGTGTTTTGGCCAAACTTACTTTCGACAGCTACCCAAATAAATCCGGGCACACGACCAGAATGCAAATGAACACAAACATATATTTATAAATGTGGAAGTTTGACATGCGTTTGGATTCCGGTGAGAGCTTCAATTCTGCGAGTATGCTGGAGTCATTAAGTGGCTAACATCAGTGGCACATACCTGCAGTCTGATCTTCACGCAGGCTGCACGCATTTGATAAACAATAATAGGAATAGTTTGTGGAGGCGATTAGACCGTACCTTCCCATTTGCTTCTGTAGGTCCACCATGTACTGGTAGCACTGGGCATAGTACGTCATCTGGGCCTCCACGAACTCGTTGAGACATCTAAGGTGATTCGCCTGCAGTGCGACAAGGTCAGACAAAGGTGACGCTCAAGTCAAAGTTTGCAGCAGGGAGACCAGGGGGATGATCTACACCGGTGGTTCTCAACCTTTGTTGGCTACTGTAACCCCCTTGTTGAATATTTTAACCAATTGTCCATTTTATGTGGTATGCTAACTAGCTAAGTAACTGCAAGAGAATCAAATAAATTAGCAGACACCCTGCATGCTTGACATAAGTCACTGTTGGAAATCACGCTGTTTATGATCAATCAGTTTAGAGAGGTCTTTAATATCATTCAAGGTCAGCATATAGATACAATTTTTATCGTAGTTATTTCAATATTGCCAGATTCATGCACGATTATTCACCAATGGCTCTCGTGTATGACATAATTTCACACATTTAAGAATCACCTCACGTACCCTCTGGGACATTGCCACGTGACCCCCAGGGGTCGGCATACCCCCGGTGGAGAACCACTGATCTACACGGCTCTCTCCGCCGTACATTCGCATTGCACCGCTTGCTGCTCGAAACGATGGGCGATGTTCGCCCGACATGCTGGGACGTTCTGCAGGAAATTAATGTGACGGACACCGCGCCTGAACAATGCGCGGTGCAACCCGAAAACGCATCGGAGGTCTAGACATCCACACCGTTGTTCAGCAATGGCCTAGATTAAGGCTATTCTGAGCCCTCGTATGTCAGGGCAATAATTTGGGATGTTTCAATGACTTTTACATCTGCCACCACCTACTGCCTTCTGAACCCCATGGGGCCCCTAGGCGACAGACTGCTTTGTGTTTTGTATTTCTCAGTAATGTGCTTGGCTCTGCTAATGTCATGACACACAGCCTGCGACGTCCGCTTCAGCAGCGAGTGAATTAGCACCAAATATTTCTGTTCGTTGCCCATCCTGAGTACTTGTAGCATGTACTGTCTATGCAGGCTGTAGCATGTAGCATGTATGGCCCTTTTTGCCAATCCGCTGCTGGATGAGGGCCTCCGCACACCGTGCGAGTCGTGGGGGTTATTTGACCAGACTTCACTATGCTGATCAGTGCAGGTTGGTGAAGACTGGAGCAAAGACGTTGGAGCATAGTATAGTACAACAATTTATCTTGCTACACTGCCCTTTGCAGAGGACGCAGCCCCACAGCAGCTTGCGACACTTGTTTCTATGCATGGTGATTGTCACCATGCATAGCTTTTGAGATCTGATGAGATCAAGCATATTCCTAGTGATTTACTCATAGGCAGACTATAGCATAGGCTCTGACTTCACTGGCCATGTCTTACACCTTGATCTGAAAATGTTACATAGTCTAAATATTTGAGAAAATTAGCAACTTCAAATACACTCGAAGAATATTTTACCATTAATGTCAGTATAAAACGGTTCACCCTTGTGAACATTATCATGATGTAATGCCTCATTATTAGTATGTAAAAAAATATATACATAACATGTGAGTCAAGTCAAGGAGAGTAGAACACAATTATGATTCAGTGAAACCTACATTTCCCTTGCCCACAGTCCCTTTTTAATTCAAAAAAATTTTTCTTTCTTTCTTTGGCAGGTCATGTTTCCTGCTGGGACTAACACATTTCAAGGACACGTAGGCACGCTCGCGGTATAAAAGCTCAAAGAAGTTAATAACCAGGACCTCATATAGATGATAAGAGTGAAGTAAAAAAAGAAAGCAAAGCCTAAATGACCGTAGGCCAAAATTAGTTTTACCTCATTACATTGGTAAAGCCCGGACAAGAGGACTTGCATTACGTTCACACGAACACGGAGCACCACATTGAACTGAGCAGAGTACTACAGGCAAGCTGTTTTAGGTAGAGCACAGGTTTTCGGATGGACCGCGTGTCGTTCGGTGTGAAATCTCTCTCTCAAATTTAGCATTCTCTGTAAGAACGTAATCAACCAGGTAGGGCAGCGGTCGGGAACCTATGGCTCGCGAGCCATACATGGCTCTTCCAGTGACGGCATATGGCTCCCAGACAATTTAGAGTTGAAAAAAAAAATCAGTTTGGAACTGATTTTAAAATGCTTGCGATATTACTTAATAATACTGTGTCATTTTAAAGTAAACAGAAATTAGTTTTGAAGATAAATTTCACGGGTCACGGGGCCTCAACGCCTGCATGAAGCTCAACCTCACCACGTATGAACCAGACTACAAGGCCATCAGCAAAACCATGCAGCACCAGAAGTCGCATTAAAAGTAAGACATATTTAATTTATTATACGTTAAAAATACTATATGGCTCTCAATGAAATATATTTAGAAATATTTGGCTTTTATGGCTCTCCCAGTCAAAAAGGTTCCCGACCCCTGGGTTAGGGTGTTGACTGTTATGTTAACCGACTCACTGAGCTGTATTGCATTATATTCCTAAGTATACTAGGTTTGTTTTCTATTTCATTTATACCTGATGATTGCTTGTGTTGCAATCGAAACGTCATATGCTATTATTAGAATTTATTATGTTCTCTTTATACGTGGCTTTACCGAAAGAACCAAAGAGTAATTCCTGCAGTCACGAAAGCTCCAAATTAAGTTTGCGCTATATAGCCCTCCGATGGGCTTTTTGGAATGGACCGCGTGTCGTTTGGTGCGATGTCCGACGTTCCGCTTCACGTACTGAAGAAGCTCCCAGCCACGTGAAGCAAAATGTCAGGACGTCATACCCAACACTTTAAGGGACGAGCCATTACACCCATTAAAGAGATAAACTGTTCAGGTGTTTACGTGAAAAGTACGCTGGCGCGGAAATGTATTTTTGAGTATTTTATTTAAACTATAGTGTTCATGTAGCTCTGCAATGCGATCAGTATTAGTATGTAAAAAAATTAACCCGTAAAAACAAAGCTTTTCACTATAAATCCTTTATATGCGTGGCATCGGTTTTATTTTATTATTCATTTCTGTTTTTCTTGAGTAAGAGTTTCATTTTTATCACATTGGTATTTTAAATTAAATATGACTTTTTTTTTTCCTAAAAAGTGGAAAATTTTGGAAATTTTTTTTCACTAAAATAAATTGTCACGCACAACGAGTCTGTGTGCAAAATGTCAGCTCGATTGGATCACGGGAAGTGGGTTAAAAAACGACCGAAAGATTTGCACGGTCGTAAGCGCGCAAGCAAGCAAGCAAGTGAACTTAATATAAAGGATTTAAAAAATAGGTTTTCACAACATATTATGTATTCATGTGTTTGTTTCACCGTCTGTTAAGTGATAATGCATCGCGGCAGTTTAATGTAATGTAGATCTTCAAGGTGGGTTTGTTATGTGGAAACAATCCAGGTAAAACAATTATAAATTATTCATTCAGTCAAATGTGGGTCACATTTGCTCAAACTTATTTTGTTGGTGACCTAAGACAATAGGACCACAATGTACCTCTTCGAGAACTGCTGATGATTTTTGCATATGTATAGAGGCTGAGTAGTTTAGCGAGAGAGAGGAAAACTAAACTATTTGATTTCCCAGGTAAAGCCCACTTTGTTTTAGAAGCGACCTGGTCAAAAATTATATCTCAACGAAGTGGCTTATCATGTGGAAGTTTATAGCAGCCAAATCACCTAAACGTATGTTTCCAAATTTAGAGCGAAAAAAAGAGGACACTGAGAAAAATCCATGCGACCACGGGGAGAGAAACAAGCAAACTCCAAATACACAGGCGTCGTCAGCGTCGGGATGGAACCCACAACCTCCTGCATACTCGGTGAGGGAGATAACATCTCGCCACCGCAGCGCCCCCTGTTCCCAGGCAGCAGAGGAAAATGAACGAACCCCACTCCCGATGATTGTCAGCTGAGCCTACAAAGATGTGCACCATGGCCAGCACCAGGCTCCTCTTAATGGTGTGCATAACACTGGTCAACACACTTTTTCTGGCATAAGGTATTCCAACGGTTTTAATGTAATTTTGGGGTGCGGATTCCAAATCTGGCATCAGTTTTTGTCTATCACATCAGGTTTTTGAGATATCAAATATTGCATTTTCAATAAAAACTGCAGAAGAAAATTTTTAAATAAATGTGGATATCTACATTAAATTATATTGTAAACACACATTCCTAAAAAATACAGCACCACATTTTAACACTAAAGCAGTCACTGACTCGCAACAACTTGCAATCATAAGTGACAGAGTTAATTTCTGGTAAAATCAATAAAAACGGGGTATGCCGATAGCATTAAATGAGATGTGATAGAGCAAATCTGAGATCAGATTTGGAATCAGTACCCTGAAATTAGTCTAAAACAGCTGCAAAAGTCCAGGCCAGAATTTTTTTTTTGACCAGTGTAATTGATGTCCTTACAATTTTAATATTACAACAATGGCAGACTATATAAAGATTTGAATTGTTTTCTTAAAAAGGAAAGTGTATTAAAATACATTTAAAAGTACCAATATCAATCTATTTCATGTGTGATAAGGATTTCATCCCACAGTGGAATGCTATAAAAGGTTTAGATCACGGGGCAGGATTTATACATTTCTTTCATGTAAATGGAAATTCTTGTAATTTTGATTTCCGATTCCCTCATAAGAAAAGCAGCCCATAGTGTATAATTAATAAGTCTTACAATTTTACAGGTGAATTAAGAGACACAAATGCTCTACAAATAAAGAAGAAAATAATTGCCTTTTAAATTCAAACGAGATTCCACATCTGCTGTATCAACCTGAATTTTAATGTCATGGTAATCTAATCAAACCCATCAAGCAGGCAACACGATTTTGTACAAAAATGCAATGTGCTGTCACAGTACACTGTGGGTGAGCGGAAAAAAAACCCGATACAAAGTGTATCTATTGCACTTTGTAAACAAGTAAAACAAGACTGCGGTCTTTCAGCCTTATTGGGCCAATGTTTTCCTGCGGCTTTCGCTGTATGTTACACTTGGGAACACAGCTCAACGTCCCAAAACACACGTACAACTGACTTGTTGATGCAATGTAATTGTGCTCTTAGTACATTGTTAACAGACTAGTAATATAATTGTGTAACATTAACTAAAGCTAATTAATTAGTGCACATTACAGATGCTTCGATTTAAAGCTTTCGTGACTGTAGGATTCAAAACAGGGCTGTCTTTCGGACAGCTGTTCTTCACCTGAGGACGGCTGCTTGCGTTGTGGCCGAAACGTCGTGAGAATTTTATTACGGTGAATTTTTATTATTTTATTATTTCCCTTCTACGTAACTTTACCGAAAGAACCAAGAATATGAATCCTGCTATTGTTCTACCAGGCCCTGCATGCATACAAATCACAAACTCATAAACTGATCAATGCATTAATAAATTATTCGCACAGCCAAACATCTAACCAATCAACAATTAATGATTAATACTTAATAATATATTTAATATATAAATTGTAAGACAGCTCCATTAGGCTGAAAATGTGTCTTACAAAGAGGCCTATTTGGGGAAATGGCATTTACTGCGGGTGATTAATTTTGCCATGGTAGTGGGGAGCTGCAGCCCAAATTCTGCTCAGAACGTCATCAGATGGAAACGGGGAAATTTCACGCCAATTCCCTGGGCCAGACTCAAATGCGAAGGGTGGTGGAGAGTGCCTCCATACTCGGTCCAACCAGCAGATTGAGCAGACTGAAGTGAACAACTTTACAAGATTCTGTGGCTGAATTCTATCATTATTTTATAGGGCTGCATTTGCCAAGGCAAGAGAGTGCTCGCTAGAAAATGTACAGGATTAACACGCAGCATGTTTTGTTTTAAGTCACATCCACAATTGTTCGTAAAAAAAACAACATACTAGAACACCCTCACAATTTTGTTTTGTACATACGCCGTTACGTTCTTTCTATGTGTCGACTGGCACTCCGGACAACTTGCAAATGAGATGTTCCATCGCAAGGGATTTTAAAGTTCAAATGTTTTTTTATAATAAATTATAGTTTGAACATAAACACGTGGTGCAATATAACGCCTTTAATGTTCCTCTTGTCACCTGAATGATTTGACTTCGTTGGCAAAAGTGTGTGGCACCACTTCGACAAGTAGAGGAAATAACACACGCTCAGACATCGCATTACACGGGCAATTCATCTCAGTCATCATCAATCACGCTAACAGCAATGTCAGCAGCTGCAATTTTGCCTGCCATGAGCAGTGTCCGACAGGACAATAAAAGCCATCATTTTATTACAAATGTATACAGAGTTTTATTGCTGTTTCCCCGAAAAGTTTTGTATTTGTGTTTTTAAACAATTTCAAATCATTTGGCCTTTTGCCGGTCCATCATCAATTGCAAGTCACGTGTGCTTGGCAAGGCAGAAAGAAATATCAAAGGTGGACCTCCCACGAGCAGTACAACATCACATCACAATCGCAAAGGAATGAATGCCTTCCCCGATTACCTGGTCGATAGGCCTCACACACGTACCCAGGGGAGTTTCTGCTTCTATACCAAGGTCTGTTCATAGATACGTGCAACCAAATCAGGTTCTATTTTAGACACAGATATATTCTTTTGTGTCTCCATTGTTGACGTGGCCGATACCATCAAAGGCCCTGTGTCTGTGTGAATGAGTAAGGGCTCATGCAGGCTGGAAAAGACAATATAAATGTTTAGCTTCTGCACCACAGGGCATGAACCCAAGATGTGAAAGACCCTGGCAATGCCGCATTAGACCCGTGAGCCACCAAGTCGCCCCAAGTCATTACTTTATGGTAATTCTACAAGCTACGCAGGGACCATTACCATCCACCATACCCAGTGCACACCCGGTGCATATGATCAGGAATAATCATTCATATGAACAGCTGCTTAATTCAGAGAGCTCACTGACAAGATGTCCTTCCAGACACTATCCCTCGAGACCAGGTTTAGGAGCGCAGATATCGTTTATCTTAGTCGTGTAATATTGTTAAAAAGAGGAATTTATCCTGATTGTACATTCCAGCCGATGTCCATCCGCACAGTACCCGATAAGCAGGCAGCTGATTATATTAATAAGTTTAAATAATTTTAACTATGCACATTCGATGATTTATCTCAGACAAAAAATACATTTGTATTGCACAATCCTATTCCTCGTCAATTTAAAACGTTCATCCAGAATATATAAATATTATATTCTTGGGTCTTTCGGTAAAGTCACGTAGATAGGTTCAAAGAAAACTAAATAAAAAAAAACTACGACGTTTCGATCGCAACACAAACAATCGTCATCAGGATAATTTTTTTTCATCCTGATGACGATTGCTTGTGTTGCGATTGAAACGTCGTAGTTTTCTGTTATTTTATAATTTTCTTTGAACCTATCTACGTGACTTTACCGAAAGATCCAAGAATATGACTTCCTGCAGTCATGAAAGCTTTAAGTCAAGATTCATATAAATGTTATTACACAGTGAAATACTGTTAATATTTGATTTATATTACTGTACTATATCTCTTTACAGCACATTATCATCACTTGCTGAATAAAGGCCTTCTCACGCCGTGGCAGCCACAGGGATTATTTGACCCTATTGCACCACACGTTTCAGTGCGGAATCGTTAAAGGGCGAAGGGGGGGGGCAGGGCCAGGGGGGGGGGGGCTGTTCAGATAAAGCTTGCGACTGATGTTCGCCATGGAGATGGAATCAAACTTGGGTTGCCAGGTTCCTAACTTAACTGACAAATGAGCGGCCATGTTACGTAAATATCTGGGTTTATTGCATTTCCTAAAATATGCACATATATATTTTTTCAGAGTGGTGAATATCCATTGAATAATTTTGCTCCTCTGAATTTGATGCTTAAGAGTTAGTCTAAAATTGGCTGCCTTCTGACCTAGAACAATAACAATTAGAGACGGTTAAGTTTAGCTTAGCAATAAAGCCTCGGTGTTCATCGCATCCCCTTGATGAGATGTAAGCTGTAATCTCCGCGTGAGGGATCATTCCCTCTCTAAGATGGGCCCACTGGTTGGAGGAATCCTACCCATGTATCTCCCATTTCATATTCACTGCTTAAATTCACACTCAGGATTTATCTATATTACATTTCACAAAAATATGTAGCGTCTCTGTGGAGAATACAAAAAAATAGATAAGCTGACAAAATATCTCCTTCATATATAGTTTTTTCCATGTAAAAATATCAAATATAAATATCCCCTTACCCAATGGCCTTCTGGGAGTGCATATTTCCGCAGAATTGACTCGGCACAACAACAACAAAAAACTCTGGACTGGTTTTGACACAGAGTCTCTCATCAGCAGATTCAGGCCTGGTTGCATCAATGCTGAACTGCCAGATGCTATAGGAAAGGACCCTCTCTGTTTGATTTGAGTCTTAGTTCTATATTATATATTACTTTTTACGTACGATGTTCTTCATGCTGACCTACTTGGATGTTCATAATTTATAGTTTGGAACTGTATAAAGTTTGTAGACACACCTGTGTATTATTCCTGACCTCACTCTAATAGTGCAGTTCCCTGTTATGGCTCTGCAATGGCGTCTCGTGATTTGTTTGTATTTCAAGAGAAGATTCAATTTGGTTTTCCCAGAAAGGAGTCACAGTCTCAAAACTTTTCTGGAGGATGCTGCTTGGGGTGTTTGTCCAATTACTTTTTGAGAATCATTGTGTGTCGTTAGAAAACCCACGCATATGTGAGAAAAACAATAATCAGACATTTCGATTTAAAGCTTTCGTGACTGCAGGGATTCATCTTCTTGGTTCTTTCGGTAAAGTCACGTAGAATGGAAATAATAAAATAATAAAAATAAAATATAATAAAATAAGTATCACGACGTTTCGGCCACAACGCAAGCAGCCGTCCTCAGGTGAAGAACAGGTCTGTCAGAAAGATAGCGTCTGAATGAACACCACCAGGCTTGGCAGCGTATATTTAAGCTGGGTTGGAGGGGGAAGAGCGCCTTCCTTTGTCAAGGCGCTCTTCCCCCTCCAACCCAGCTGCCAAGCCTGGTGGTGTTCATTCAGACGCTGTCTCCCCGACAGACCTGTTCTTCACCTGAGGAAGGCTGCTTGTGTTGTGGCCGAAACGTCGTGAGAATTATTTTATAATGTTTTATTTGTATTATTTTATTATTTCCATTCTACGTGACTTTACCGAAAGAACCAAGAATAATAATCAGACACTGTACAGGTAAGGTCAGCCTGGTGCCACCGACAATGCGGTGCAACATACCAATGTGAAAAAGGAGAATGACTTAATCAGCGCGTATTATCTGCAATGACAAATGAGATGGAAACAAGGACATCAATGGAGGAGTTGGAACAAAAGCTGAAAAGTGCACAGAGAAGCATGAGCAGGTGCATGCTGGAAATACACTTGAGGCACAAACAGTACCACATGTATTACAGAACATCGGCAGGTTAAAGTAGGCTTGGGTAGGATACATCGCTAGAAGGGAAGATGAATGTGTGTAGAACGTAGCCAACGGTGCTAATCCAAGATTGCCTAAGGTTGAGAATAACGACGGAGAGGCAGTCAAGGGAGGGAATCGTGCCCCAAGGTAACGTTCGCCGCACAGATGGAGCTATGAAATCAGTTTGCGTGCAGGTGCTGGTTGGTTGTATCGCCCCCCAACCGTCAGAGACGTGGTGTCACCTTGGGGAGGTCTTAATCCAGGAGTGGAGATTATTCATTGCTGATGGTGATGATGCCACAGTGACGATCTAATACACTGATGGCAAGCAACGCTCGAGGAAAGAAAGCCGTAAGAGTTATGCGACTTGGAATAAACGATCTCGCACTTACGTGTGTGGTGCTGATCCCCTCCAGGAGAAGCCGTGTGATCTCGGCCTGCCTGTCAAACTCCGCCTGAGCCACACGCACCTCCTGCTCACCCTGTTAGGACGACAAGCAGCCACGCTTTTGCACGGGAAACGGTCTCTTTGCACGAGTTAAAATATCATTACAGAAGGGATGTATGCCTGATTTTTGGATTAAACTGAAAAGTCTAAAAGCCATGCCTATACATAAGATCACGTTGTTTCAGATTGATACAAATGTATGGCGTCACAGGAAACGACGTCACTTTTACAGGACACTTCCTTGTTTCCCTGCCAAAATTTACCTGGAAAAATCTAAAGTTTGTTAAAAAATTTGGTTTCATTGGGTGACATCACTTTTGGAAGCATGAAGATGTTTAATTATTATAAGACGAAAATAATCTAGAAATCTGAAACGATATCCAAAATAGTTTTTAAAATTAAGATGTTTTTTTTATATTGCTGGCATTCATCCCTAAAATATATGTTTTATTGCACTGTAATACCTATGTTGTGGTATTTGTAAGTCTGGGAACTATGGAGGTCATGTGAATGTCATAATCAGAACAGTAAGGTTTTAACCTCATAAGCACATCCAAGCATGAATGTGCGATTGTTAATGGGTTGAACAAAACTGGGATTAACTGCTGTGGTCTAGCAAAGCACAATGTCCTATTAAGGCTCATGCAATTAATTGGGCTTTATAAGGCAGACGGGGTCTCATCCTCGGTGCGCAAGCTTGATGACTGTGCCTTCCCCTGCCGCCTGGGTCAATGTGGCCGAGAGAATGGAGGAGGCAGCACTGCAGATGCAATGTATGCAGTCCCGCTTAGAAAATTATAATAGTGCACGGTCTCTGCACACAGGGATACTCTGAAACTTTAATTAAAGTAAACACCACTCACTGCTCTGGGAAATGGTCGTAAGTGCTAAGCTCAATTCTCAGGCACACGCCGCGTGAATCCTGCACTTGCTGCCAATTCCATGCACCTGGTCCTGCGTCTCAGTTCACCTCTGATGCAGCACGTCACCAGGGAGCATCTATTACAGCAAGATCTCAAAAGTGCGGTTGTGCAATGCACAGCAGGTGTGATTCACCAAAGGATGCAACTGGCAAAAGGAAGACTTATGGAGAGACTCTAAGAAACCTCAGTTGTTTTTTTTCTACCTCTTAGAGTGATTATGGTTCAGCGAAGAGCCAGTGATTTGGACGAACAAATCGAGACAACGCAACAAGCCAGCGTGACGGTGTGCAGGCCCTGCAGTGTAACTGATGAAACCGGGCCTTTTCCATTTTGAAATCGATTTTTTGTGGCAGTGTGAGCGATGGCCAAAGTTTACATTGGAGACCTTTTTTGAACAAAAAAAAATACTGAACAGCTCATCTAAACTGCATTTTCTGGCCGCCCTTGCAAATGAGATGTTCCATCTCAAGAGATTTTGCAGATAAAAAAAAATGCACAATCTGGGAAAATCTAGGGGACACTTTGTCTGGCCAGCAGATTTGCATGCAAGCCCTGCAAGTTATAAACACTTGGCTGCACTGCTGAATGTTTCTACAAAATTCTAAGTGGGCACGCAGTATAACTCAAGACTAGCCTTTCTGGAAACTTAGAATTCTCCACAGTGGGCATAGGCACAGAGGTGACAAGAGGGGGGGGGGGGCAACCCCCCCTCCCCCACCGTCAACTTTTATACAGGAGGACATGTACATTACATGTTGTAACTGTTCAATTAATAATGTCCGTATGACCCTCTGGCTACTCAACAGAGGCCCCATGGCTACTTGTCTTCTAAACTTATATACCTGTCTGACGCCTGGCAGAGGAGGTTGTGAGCAATCAGTCATATGCACGGACAAGGTCTTACTTAGCATGTAAGGTGACACTAAATAGGAAAAGTGTTCCAGCAGCAATTTGGGAGTTAGCCTCCACTTCCGAGTGATAGGCAGTGACGGGCAAGGCTCTCAAATGTGAGTCCCCCTTAAACACACCAACAGCAAATCTCAACAAGAAAAAAGAGATCCATTTCCAACGTCAGGTTTAAACCTGCCAATTGGCCAAGTGCTGGCATTGTACTACGCGAGTGGCAGATGCATTCTCCGAATCCAGCGCGTCGTCGTCGACATGCGCAGATTCCAATCACACACGGGAGTGTTACACGGCCGCCGTTCTCATGTCGGCCACTTCGTAATGCGTGTGGCAATACAGATTGGGTCTCGTTTACATCTGGTGCGATTGCTCAGTCAATACCTAGCCTGTGGGCTGCCAATGTATCGTACTAGGTAGGACCAGCACAACGGGGTTGAAGTGATGCCAGGAAAATAAAACTTAGCACCTCTCGAATTAAAGCTTTCGTGATTGCAGGAATTCACATTCTTTGGCGCTTTTGGTAAAGTTCTTTGAACCTATCTACGTGACTTTAGCATATGACCCAAATAATATTAGCACCTCTCACACAGCCAACGCTGCACTGGTGATTAGGGGCATTAATGTGAAGCAGTGCATTGTGGGATTATGGGTGACTCCCTAAGACTGGCCCACTAACTGAACCATGGGATCTGCAATGGTGGCAGATGAGTTCTGGGGAACACCTATCCACTACACATTGCAAAGGCATCGCATGCTGCTGAAGCGTCACACCTCATGGGTTAAATGTTAGCCAACGTTACATTACATGTTAAATGTTAGCCAATGTTACATTACATGCACTGCAATGCATATGTTGTGTTGGTGTTATCTGAATGTCAGGAAGAATACAGAATAAATACGCACAAACACATTTTTGTAATTCTGACAGTACTGATGATTCCTGGGCTTTAAAGGATTATATTGTGTTTTAAAAATGTGATTATGAACATCGTATTTTTGTATAACTGAAATATCACTGAATACAACTGTCTGAAACTCAGTAATTTCTAAAAAAAAAATTGAATTATCAGAAAAATGTAATCATGCCCATGAATCATGTAGTTATTGTTAGCACAGACAAAAAAAACTGTGAATCACAAATTGTATAATAAGCAACAATAATTACGAGAAGAAAAATACATTGTTAGGCACGGGTCATGAATATTTATTAGAGACAAGCTGGGTGCGAATGTGCCATTTAATATTGCTGTCGTGACGGTATGGGTGTAATGATGCAATGATTAATCGATTAAAGATAATTCTCTTACATCACAATACAGGCATCGAAGCATGTATGCGAGCAAATTGTAAATATCAATCCACAAATGTCACATTTAATGGTTTCATATGACTTCTGGAACCACTAGTGACTGTTAAAATTAACATCAAATACAATAATTTCTCCTTGAATCGAATCGTTACATCAATTTCAACACTGCATCATCGGGGGGTCGGCATTGGGGGGGGGGGGGGGGGGGGTGAATCGTTACACCTCAAATTTAAACTTTTCACGAAATACATTCCCACTTACTTTGGAGACCTCCTTTGTCCACATCTTGAGCGGGGCACAGAGGAAAGAACAGGGTTGAAAAGGATAAAGAACAACAAGTACAGAGCAAAAGGGATTTCGGACTTCTCCTTAAGGCTTCGACTGAAGAAGCGTTGCTAAGGGCTGTACACACAGTCTGCTCGTTCACGACGCGACATTCCTCACCACTGTTGTTTAGCATCTCACGACCTCCATCACAAAGGTGCAGTGTACTCCCGCAGTTACATTGAAAATGGATTCAAGCAATGTATAATAAATAAATAACGGTATAAGGATTTCGATTTAAAGCTTCCGTGACTTGCAGGGATTCATCTTCTTGGTTCTTTCGGTAAAATCACGTAGAATGGAAATAATAAAATAATGGTAAAGTATGCTCATGACCAGATTCTGTCTTCTCGACAGACCTGTTCTCCACCTGAGGATGGCTGCTTGCGTCGTGGCCGAAACGTCGTGAGAATTATTTTATTATGTTTTATTTTTATTATTTTATTATTTCCATTCTACGTGACTTTACCGAAAAAACCAAGAAGAGGTATAAGGATTATTCTGTGTAACTGTATATGGGGCAGTGCTAGTGCAGTGGTTCGCCCACTTCGCTCTGCGTACGATTTCAAGCCACGGATAACATCAGCAGTGAACGATGTCTGGAGCAGCCCTGGGTCCCCTTCTCCTTAACTAATCCACATTGATCAGCATGGTAATGTATGCTCATGACCAACACGGCATGGGGAGGTCTTTCGTACAGAACTGAATCAAATCAAAAGGGGTTAAGATTATTATGACTGTATTATTATTATGAGTCTATGAAACCAATAAAGGATTTTAACATCTAATTGTACCTGTAAATTATTGCTTTGCGTTTAGAACATCCGCAAATACAGTGTAGAGTAGTTAATTGATGAATTATCGAGCTTCTAAACAGCACAAGGTTACTGTGGTGGATGGAGCATGACAGCGAGCCAGAAAGAAGTGCAATGCAGTGGCTACAGCCCAACAGCACAGCATGGGGGAGGCAGCGGGCGGCAGCAATCGTGACATTTCACCTATTGTCCAGATATTGTCGTACAAGTGTGAAAACCAGTGGCATTACAAGTGTTTTCAGAGTGTGAAACACACACAGCTAACCAAGCCGTGTCACGGATTTCACACCTGGATAATATGTTCAATGTTATTAATTGCTATTAAAAATAGGGTATCACAGCCAACAGCTTTAAATTTGGAGATACATTTTTAACTCAAATATTAAAATTCAGAACGCTGCGTTTGAATATAATGCTTTTAATGATGTTCCGATTCATGTTTCCTGCCGCTGCTGCATTCTGCACTCCGTTGGGGCACAGCTGCTGCTGCTGTTATGCTATAAGTGCACGCGTGAGCAACATTTACCGCCAGGGCTTTATCTCCTTCCTCTGTGCCCGTTGCGAGCTGCTCCCGAAAGCAGGGGGCGGCACAGGGGAACGCAGACAGAGTACGAGGGCGGCGGTGGCAGTTGGGTAACACGCAAGGAGCCACATAACCTGGCAGAGACCGTTCTGTGCATCCGCAAAGCCACACTGCGGCAGAACCCGCCCCACCCTCCCAGAGAAGCAGAAGTGGTGGGTGCGAACCAAGCAAACAGTGTCTTCCCTGGCCCTTTTGAGGGCACCCACTAAGTGAACCAACTATGGCAATGCAGTCTTGCCTGCAGGAATGTTGTGCGTACTGAAATGTTCTGTCGATTGGCAAAAAAACTATCTGACAAAGATATTAAAATTAAATGGTTCCCAATGCTGGTTTTGTTTTCTCTCCATGCAATGTTTTCATAACATATTTTTCAGGAGCAAAACTGATTGAGTGCTTTATGAAGCCATGCAGAATGCTGCCTTTGAAAATACTTTGAATGATTTTTGAAAATAAAATCTGGTATACAAGATTGCTTAGGTCATTAACATATATTTAAGCAACTTATCGAAACTATGCTAATTTAATTTTCATATGCGTTGAATGTAACTTTCTGAGAGGTTACACAGTGGCATTATATCATGGTCACATTTTCATGATAAGCTGACACTATTAAAGCAGTTTTTGATCCTCGAATGAAAAGTAAACGGAGAAACACCGCAAAAATATAATAAAGGTCTTTCCAAAAGTCCCGATGCAGCGAAGAGTTGCAATATTTTATTAGTTCGTAGACGCGAGAAGTGATATTTCAAATTTCTTAAAGCAAACCCTTTTTACGAGTCAGACGAATGTCAACCCGGACATAAAATATATTTCTTCAAAGGTTTTTACCTTTGATAGAATAGCGCCGTGATGGCATAAATTGCGCTTTCATCAAGGTACCCAAGTGTGCAGAAGAATCTAGAATGTGGCACCCTCTACAGGAGGAAAAAACATAAATACCTTCCGTCGAGATAAAAATACCACAGTTTTCCTTGCAGGGTAAACTTAATATAACATAAAAAGAAAATGCTCACGTCTACCCCCCCCCATAAATAAAGAACTAAAACACAACTCTAAATACTGTTAATTAAGCACGCCTTCCGAAAGGTTGGGTATTAACATTATTCACTCAAAAGAGAGAGCGAGCTGGAGCTGATATTCTCTAATCCAAAAGGGTCATCAAAAAGAGCACATTGCTCACAATGCCAATTTTAGTGCCAATCCGTGGAGTTCAATGAAAGACGTGCAGGGAATTTTTTTTAAGGCAATGTATGTTCAATTTATTGGCCAATCCTGACGAGCAGTCGATGAAATACCTCGCCTGGCAGAACCTAACGACTGTATGGGAGTTTCATCGATCCCTGGGTTGCAAAGTGTAATTATGATGTATATGGTTACAAGGGTACATTTCATATATTTTTTTCCCCTATTAAAGATAATTCATTTATTCTGTCACATCATTACTATTTTACAGTGTCTGGCCATACTCTTAGTACTGAAACTAACTACCTTATGCATTTCTTTCGAGTATAGCTTATGTAATGTAAAAGTATTTGGCTTGTTCAATTGCATGCGCTGTACTCACCCATCGTGCTATGCACGTAAGTGTGTATTTGAGTGAACTCTGCTTGTGTGTATAAATATTAGTAATTATAATGGGAAAATGGAATTGAGTCAGTGATGAGTACTTTCTGCTATTACAGCTATGCAAGTCTGTGTCTAAAGCTGTGTTAGAGGTCCAACATTAAAATACGACATTGCTTTTCTGCTGGGACCACCCAAAGGCATCACCCCAATGTGGTCAATCGTCAAAAAAGAATATTCCCTCTGAACATGAAAACGTATGCATATAATCATGATTCATAAATCAGTATGCAGGAATTTTGATATTCGCAGCTAAGGCCATTTGTCTTAGTTTACACGCCAAACGTGATGTGATGTCCATCACAGAGATGTTCACGTGAAGACAATGCACAGGTTCTCGCTGCCAGGTTAGTGAAACCAAGTACAATATAGAACGTACACGAAAAAAACACCATGTCCCGGTTGCGATTAGTGATGGAGACATAAGAATAAAAACACCAAGGGGAAAAAAACCCTGTACATTTTAAATTGCTACGTTTACTTTGGCCATGCCATTAAAGTCAAACTCAATTCCGAATTTTATGTCAGAGATTCATCAATAAAAAAAAACATGCTCTTCACCTAATTTAACAAAAAAAGAAGAGCGGGCCTTAAATAAAGTTTTGATTTTATGTCTGCACCAGTTTTCATTTCCCACACAAGAGGTTAATTTTCCTTCTCAAATTTTGAGCGTCAAGACATGTGAAAACAGCACCCAATCAATGGCGATAAAGGAAGGCTGGAACGAAAATCATTGAGTGTGGCTGCATGGGACATAACTTTACTTAATAAGCGACATGCACATTGGCGGTTCCATAGCCAAAGTATTGGACTTCTAAGAAAATGAACAAAGTTTGTGTGGTAGACCAGTGTTTAACTTTCAACTCATGAATATTTGAGGTAGTATCCTGACCACATTTCTCACAATTTTGACTGTCAACTTTACAACTGCAGTTAAAAACCTTTAAGCCATATACAGTAATTCACACTAATGAAAGAATTTAAGAAAGGTTATACAATTTTCCAACGTTTGTAATGGTATTTTCTGAAATCTGAGCTGATAATTTATCATCTTGTGACTATTTAGGGGAGGCCATGTTGTGCTTTTCAAGTGGCGTATCACTGCATGGAAAACGTTTATTGGCTGATTAGTATGCAAAGCATCCTATAGTGCATTGGTTCAGCACTCCAACGAGAGTTTACTGATTTTAAAGCAACTACCTGGTGAAGTGGGCTCTGATGAAACATTTTCCATTCCATTGCCAATAGTTAATTATTGACCACAGATTCATAATAAAGTATATATTTTTTACATCCCAGCCAAACCTCACCCAGTGTCAAGACGTGTTTCAGGAAGCTATTACATTGGAATGTTTGGCAGAGTTCCTTTTAGAGGTGTGTTTTGGATGTGGAAAATAAACCGGAGTAACTGGAGAAAGCTTGTGCATTCGAGGTGATAACACTTAAAGATCCACACATGGGTTTCATTCACCCACTTTTGGTAATTCCATCTCCTGCCCATTTTGCAACCCAGTGGCGTTAAGACACAAATCTGCAGGATGCATAAACCTTTTGCCCTATGGCGCCGAATTGCAGGCATATGCCCAGCTCAATTTCTACATTGATTCTAATTAAATGCACCATCTGCACATTTTGTAAAACATTTTTTTTTTAATGTGTAACGGAGTCGACAGCCAGATTGCTGCCAATAATTTTCCAAGAAATCAAAGAATGGATGGGATTGGCACAACTCATTTGCAGAGCGTTACAGAATTTTTAGTGACCTGTCCCAAAAAGCCACAATTAATGATATTTTGTTAGCAAGCAGAAACAACATAGAGCGAATGTAATGTTTGATAAGATTCTTACCCCTGCCATACTGGCCCAGAACACAACATTGCGAGGCCTAGTCTCTCGAATGTCTGGCTCATCCTGCAGCCCAGGGATGAATTAAGCATGTGAGTAGCATACGTCCATAGTGTCGCAACCCTCCACCACCTGACACGGCCAATCAGTAAAAAATGTGTCACGTTAACAAAACGCCAATTAGTTACTTCTTGAAGAGCGAATCCACAACATTTAGAATTTGAGTACGACGTTTCGCTGGAAATTACATCTAGCATCGTCGGGCGATTTGCCATACGTATATGGCAAGACCCGTGGTGATGAATGCACATCAATTTAATTTCTAATTTAATAGACTTGGCAAATGCCATTGGCCCAGTGCATTTGCAGTTAAAATCGAACGGCGAAATGGGGATAGGCTTGTAGCCTACGACACATAATTATTTTACGATCACATGGGTTTTTGTAAACAATTCAAATATGCTGGAAAAGAATACCTTTGTCACCAGTACAATTCTGTTATTCACTTGATGATAAAACACTGGAGCTTGACCGGCTCTATGCCTACTCTATACAAGATGTGCAATCATTCAACAAGGGTGCTTTCCTCTGACCCTCGCTCTATGCCCTTCAAATAAATTTCCAAACCTTTGAGCCGATACTTAATTTTTTTTATTACTTAAATATGAGCTTTGCTCCTCGAAAACACATCTAAAAAAAACTAACAGTCGAAACATAATATCCAAACTTAGTACCAAAGAAGCTGGTATATAAGCACACCTTCTATAAGCACAGTTATAGTATACGCAACACATTACTTTGGTAGGGAGCAGGTAAAGGGGGAAATTCTGATACAACCACACTACTTCTAATCTAAGCACAGCTGAACTTGCTCCCACGACATATATGCTTATATCCAGCTGCTAATATACTTAATTTGTGAACTAGTGACTGTGTTCTCAAAATATATTATACGTCCCCTTTATATATACAATGTACGTATGTATAGTGGAATTGTATACGAGTCATTAATAACGAATAACCCACAGTGCCACAACTGGTATGGACACACAACTGGATAAAGTGACAGCTGTACAAAGTGCAGGATGTTGTGCAATTTGCTGGATGGTTCCAGGAAGAATGTAAAAGGTCAACAAAAAACAAAAAAACTCCAGCAGGCAGACGGAATCCACACAATCAAACAGCAAAAACTGGTAAACATGGGGCACATGTTTATAGTTGAGCAGATTCCAGACACGGAGAGAATGTGTTTGGAACACGATGCGGCGTGCATCACGAGGCATGCTGCTGGTGGTGCGTTGTTAGCAAATTACTTACGCTGGCTCTCGCCTCGGCAGCCTTGGCTTTCCTCAGCCTTGTTTTCGATGCGTCCAGATCCAAGCGTTTGTTCTGGAGTAACTTGCGCTCTTTCTGTCACGCGCATGGCACGCAAGTACACGCAGAAATGTTTTCTCACAAGTTCACACCTCCCCCACCATCCCCTGGTTTCTCATTAAGTAACGGCACATATGTCGCTCAATTCACAGCACCCACAGCATGTGATTAAGTTTACTTTAATTCCAAAATCTCAAAATGGCATATACTTTTTTTTCCCCAGACAAACAATGTAAGCTCTAAAGTGTGATATTTTAGAACAAAAAAAAAAAGATTTTGGTAATGTGGTGTTAAGAATTATGTCCTGCGAAAACAACACACACTCTAACCACTGCCAGATCGATGACCTACATTGAGATTTTGTTGGATATAAATGATGCACAGCTGGAAACAGTACAGCACAAACGAAAGTTGGATTAAGAAATTGGAACTTGAATCCAGACAATAGTTGGGGTATAGGGTCTAGGTCAGAGGTCGCAACCGGGTACCCGATACCCGTACCCTACCCAATACACGGCTAACCGTACCCAGCCGGGTACGGGTACCCGTTTGCAACCCTGGTACGGCCGGGTACGGGTACGGGTAGACCGTGAGTCACTGGTGAGTAACCGTTTGTCATTAATTTCCCAACGTCTTGTCTCTTCTCACAATTCAAGTTCCTAGAATCAACCCACCCGCGCCTGCAACATGGCTTCATCCCAGAGGTCGCAATCGGGTACCCGATACCTGTACCCTACCCGTACCCGGCCGCGTACGGGTAGGGTATGGGTACAGCCGGGTATGGGTACCCGTTTGCGACCCTGGTGCGGCCGGGTACGGGTACGGGTAAGGAATCAAAACCCGTTTGCGACCTCTGGTCTAGGTTAAGCCATACTGAGCCACACCAGGAGGCTTTGGTTGGCCTCCCCAGCCATGGGTATGGCCCAGTGAAGGAATCCGATCAGAACGTTACAACAAAAATACAAAAACAAGATAGGAGTGCAAAGTATAGGAAGAATAAACAAATCGCTAAAAAAAACAATTTTATTTTACCAGGTAAAGGCCACTGAGCTATTAGCTTATTTTTCAGAAGCGACCTGGCCACAAATGATCACTCAACTAGATAGCCAATCATGTGGGAATTTATAGCAGCCAAATAATCTAAATAATATGAACGTTCAAGGGACGAGCAACAATCATGAGTGACACTCACCGCCATTGCCTTGTAGTCACCCTCCAGGAAGTTGCGCAGAGGGGTGAGGAAGTTGATGGTGGACGCCTGGACAAACTCCTTCTCGGCCAGGCCCAACAGCTTCTGCGACTCGCCGACCTTGATGAGGGCTCCGCCTGCGAGCACAGGGGAGACACACCGAGGACTTCCACTTCCAGGCCATACCCAATGGGCAGATCGGTAACACCAAGCACTGGGTTCGTGTTTGTGCAAATGGCGCGAAGAATTACACCGCTCTCTATAGTTATGGCCTGTGACCAAAGCACCTGAAATGTGCCGGATATCCATCATACCTCAGACACCGAGCAGGGCAGAACGTGCACGGTGTGCTTAGAAGGACGAACGCCGTTCACACAAGACAGGCGCAGTAGGCATTGTGGGTAGTGGAGGGCAGTGCAGCAAAGTCTATTGTTGTTCTACACTCGCCCCCCCGCCGCCACCTTCACTGCTCCACACTGACCCAGTGAGTAAACTGGGGTCAAGTATCCCTCAAGTTATACAAGGCGTGGAGAGTCCCCTCACCCCCCTCATCTAGCAGTGGAATAGCAAACGGGTTGTACTTGCAGTGGCATAGTGATTCGTGCGTTGCACTATCAACCCGGTGACCTGAGTTTGATTCCTGGCTATGGCTAACATCAGTGCCAAGTGATATCTGAGCCAGTCCTGGCTGCCCCCAACCAGTAACCAACGAGCACTGACAATCATGGTGAATTATGGTTAAACAATAGTCACGACTGACATGGTTTGGGCAGGCCCTCATCAAACACTGAACTAAGAAAGGAATGTAAATTATTAAGTGTGTATGTGTGTGTAGAATACAAACACGGGCTGTATATATTTGTATTTAATTGAACTAATATACGGCCATTTGTCAATCCGCCGCTGTATGAATTTAGGTCGCTGGGCTTACAGCAGAATATTCAAACCTGTGTGAATGCTTCACCACACGTGAATATATTGTGCGCATATCATTATTTATTGTATTTGTTAGTCAGTCTCTATTTATGGGACCTCCTTTGCCAGTACCAAAATATAATAGGTTTAATGCAGTGACATGATTGCTCGTAAAAGGATTCAGTTTGGTGTTTCAACATCTTAACACAGCTGTTTTGTTGCCAGAAATAAGGGGAAACACCTATTATCAGTCTCTATTTATAAATAAGATCTCACAATCCAATCATTAGGTAAAAAAATGGTATTCGACAAAAAAAAAACCCATCAAAGTTCTTGAATCTAACAATATTTATATAATGCAAAAACAAATGCTACTCACTGCTGCCCTATCGGGCTGCAATGATATAATTCTGCTCAATGTGAGCCTATGGGGCTTCAATAATAAAATGCTGTTCAATGCTGGCCTATGGGCCTTCAGTGATAAAAAGCTGTGAAATGTTAGCCTATGGGTCTCAAAAGATAAAACGTTGCTCAGTTTTGGCCGATGGGGCCCCTGTGATGAAATGCTGCTCAGAGCAAGTTCTATAGACTGCCCATGATAAAATGCTATGTTTCGTCGAGATGGATGGCTGGCTGGTAAATGTACTAGCCTTGGGTATTCTAGAAACTAGACTATCTGGACGGAGGGAAATGGTAGAACCTTATTCATCACATAAGCCTTGCTCACACACTGGATAAAGTGAAACCAAGACATTCACCAGTCCAAATCAAAAGCAAAAAATACATAAATGTCAACTATCTAGTTTTATTGAATGCCAAATAAATTTAAACAAGAATGACATGTCAAAGTGATATGCTTGTAATCTGCCACTGCCTCTGTTCCAATATCTCATAAAATATCATGGAAAAAAAACATCAATATCAGTAATAACTATATCCCCCAAATGGGGGACAAAACAATATTACAGAAATACGTGAAAAGCGGTGAGCTGGCAGTGTGTTACAGCCCACTATAGATCTCAACCCACTTCGATGTTTACCGTTTCATGCGTGCCGTGCTGACAACCTAAAATTGCAAATGTTGCACGCGCAGGCAGCGTGACTGGTCCATAAATGGTCTCTGAGCACCGTATTATTTACCCAGCTCCCACCCTGACAGTCAAGTCGTACGCAAGGTTCACCTTGTTGCCGCCCCTTGTTCTGATTCTGTGAATATGGGTTAATTGGAGGCTTGCTAGGATTCTTAAAAGTCCCTCGCCTCACAGCTGGCGTATTCCCTAAAAAATCATTGCACTCGTTATTTGAGAAAAAAAAATGAAATATAAATTATTCGTGTCTACATCTGCATACCTTTCCCTTTGTAAATTCCTACAGCTTGCGGTACCTTAATGTGACAGCACAGTTCAGATTTCCAAACAAAATCATGTGATAACAGGTTTATATTCACACAAACAAGAAAAACATCCTCTACTGTAGTACTGTAGGTTGTATTTTAATACTCCACTCCTGTCTACTCACTTGTCTATTTGCCACATTTTGAAAATGTTATTCCTACAACTGGTCATGGATGTGTCTCAATGCATGGGGGCCTACAATCTTCAGGGCGAAGACCTGCTTTTAGAAACTCAAAAGGTATTGGCAATTTGGCCACATTAGACATCTTATTGCCCTATTGTGGGATGTTAGCCCAGACACTAGGGTCAACCAACATTCTTGTTCTTTATGGATGTGTGCCACGGGCTATTTCATATCCACCGAGGAGACAGGACGGCATATTAACATCGTAAACACGCTACCTCATGCAGCAAAACGTGTCCCCACAGCATCACACTGGGGTGTCGGTTGGGCCCTATGCCAGAGGAAGAAGTGCACTCACACTCAGCAGTGAACACTCTACAGATACAAAAGCAGCCCAATGTATTCCCGTGTGATTTCACATTCAAATATTTACTCTGCTTAAACCCAAAGTACCTTTTGAGATGTGATGATATTTGTTCCAAAGTACGATCATTTAAATTACTGAGGGTATATGCGGATTTTATTTGCGTGTGAAGGCCTCTTGTCCATATGTGAGCTTCCTTACACTTTACTTTTCGTAGTTTAATTTCATAACTATTTTGGTTCCTATATTTTTTTGCTGGCCTAGTGAACAATGTGCAGTGTGCCTGGGCTGAAAGCTGACTTTGACATGGTCACAATCAGCTTACACAAGCTGCCACCTTACAAATGGGACAGCATAACAGGTTTTGTTTCATTGTGGTGAGAAAACATACATATCCATTCAGCGTTAAAACAAATTCAAGGATTTAATCATATTTTTTACTGACTTATGAAAAAAGATAAAGTCTCGAGGCTTCGTGAGTCTATCCTGCAGGAATACTTGACGTTACAGTATAACCATTTCAGCGGTTGTAAGAATTTAGGTGTGGACTGTGCGGAATCGGCAGTGACCGCTAGGCTTTCTGGCTGCTACATACACTGCTTATTTAGGCATGCATGAGCAAGTGGCTGTGTATGTTGGCCTCACCATAGGGGGTTCCTGCACCAAAGTCATTGCCAGCATCGGTCATGTACTGGCCCAGCAGCTCCACCGTGCGTTGTCGGGCAGGTCCCTTCTTCTCCAGCTTCTCGTACACGAACTCCTCCACCCGTGCCGCTGCCGCACAAGCACGCACGCACACACACAAGTTAACCTCTCGCCGGTACGGCGGTTACTCCAGACTCTTGTGTGCGTCCCTTCCAAACGCCAGGCACATGCCTCAAACGGAGGCTGCGAGCTCAAACGACAGAACCAGCCAGTAACGCAAGCGATAGTTGTACTTTAGTGAGCCGCTGTAAGGAAAATTGATTCATGAATGGATTGTTTGAAGGTTGGTCTACCTAAGCTATGGTGGCTTTTGACAACCAATTTGTGCCTGCATGCAGTGGCACTTTATCACACCTATGATTAGCAAACAGTTAGTGACTGCTTCTGCTGAACCTTATCAATTAACTAATTGACAACCTAATGAGATAAATGAATATTTTTTACAGGGACACTTTTATATCTAGAAAAATACACGCAGAAATATCGTGTCAAATTGTGGGTCATTTTAAGTTCTGAGATTTCTCCTGAGAATCATATCACTCAATTTGTTTACATTCAATGTAAAGGACACAGTGTACTTTGACAAAGCCTTGTGCTATTGAGCAGGCCACTTGCAGAAGCTGAACGTAATGACTACAGGCAAAATGGCCCAATGGTGAGTGTGTTGACCTCCAGGCCTGCCAGCCACCATTAAATTGTACTGAAAAAGTAAGGTGACAATTCAGTCAGATGTTGAACAATTGGCAATATTAAAAAGCCATCACCAGAGCACTCGGGATGACCTACCTATTTTAAATGGTCTGAGCATGTCAGCAGAATGCCAAATGAAAGGATCGCAGAGGCTCCACTGCTCAGCAAAGCGAAAAGAAAATTCCAGGGAGAATACCCAACAAGGGGTAGGCAATGGTATTAGAGAAAGATGGGATTTAGCCTGAGAAAGCCTACAGACCACAATCCCACCCAGGGGAAGGTCAGTGGCAAGCAACAGCATATACTGCCACTACACCAAACAAGAGAAAGGAATAAAGCATTAATGGTATGTCACATGTTAGAATATTCAAGTGCCTTGGTGTTGTTTGAGTCTCTTGTAATTCTTGCAACATGCTATCTAGTCAATCTATCTCTTCATAAATCGGTTCACCCTATTTTATAAGCAGCATTGTCAGTAACCCCTGTCTTTCAAGAAAAGTGCAACACAATTTTCTGCTATTGCCTTTGTGGCTTCTCAAATATGGGTGTGACCCATACACTTAAATGCATGATTGATAGTCTTCCAAGCAATTCACATTTTGAACTGTCCTGGGCATAACCTGCCGTGAGCAATCTCCACAAAAACCCGGTCAATCCAGTATGAAAAGAGAGCTTCCTCCAGCTTTAAGCAAGAATGTACATAAGATGACCCCCTCCCTTTACAGTTTGTAGACCTGTTGCAAGCAAACAGCCAGGCAAAGACAAGTGAGCTCCAAAACAGCTCGAAGGAGTAGCTATGTATATTACACTGATGTATCACACATGAGGCATTCATGAATGGGTGGCATTTATAGCCCTCTGCAGACCTGCCAGATCTATCTACATACAGCTGCAGGACTATAAGGGCTCTGCCCGATCCATTCTCTCCATATCAAGAGCGCACTTTGTCATCCACCACACAGCCTGCCCTAAACTCTGCTCTGCTGTGCCCCACCTCCAGCATAGACCTGAAGCGCCTTGTAAGAAAAAAAAAGTAATCTGTGACTCACACCTGAGCTCAGTGCAACCATTAAGCCATCGATCAATAAAACGTCAAGTCCATTGGAGAGGATGAATGCGAATAAAATAAAGGGCGTGTCAAATTTCACGAGCTGCTAAATTTCTCTAATGTGAAAATTACAAACCTAATTTTTAGAGCAGTGAGTGACGATAATGAAATGGGAAAAGGCCCACTGAATCGTTGCACCTCACAAGTGGGGCATTTGCTTCCCATACTCTAAAAATTAACCCGTAAAAACAAAATTTTTCACTATAAATCCTTTATATGCGTGGCATCGGGGCGGCAAGAGTCCTCTCGTCCTCTGGCTTGAGATGGCTGCCACCTATGGGTCAGATGATTGTCTGCCACCATTAAGCAATTGGTAATTAAATATTTAATTTTTTTTCCCTAAACAGTGTAAAATTGTGGACATTTTTTTCACGAAAATTAATTGTCACGCACAACGAGTCTGTGTGAAAAATGTCAGCTCGATTGGATCACGGGAAGTGGGTTAAAAAACGACCGAAAGATTTGCACGGTCCTAAGAAAGCAAGCAAGTGAACTTAATATAAAGGATTTAAAAATGCGCTCACCTGGAATTACATTTCTTGGTGCCGTCATATTACAATTGAACGATGATGAATTGTTTTCCGCCAAATGGTTCATTTAAAATGTTAGACTTCAGTTTCACATGACCGAGAAAAACAAATGAAATTAGACAAATACATATATTTAGAAACTTAAAAATGTTTTATCAACCAAATTTTTGAATGCTAGTTAAAGTCTCGTCTCCATGAAGGAACTCTTTAAAGTTAAAAAGCGAATTGTCACAAACATGCGAGTCTTGTTGCGTGTTTTTGACGTATTGCAACACTGGACTCTCATCATCATATAAGCTTGAGACCTGTTCAACCCTCTGATTAAATCTATTGCGGAATGCTTCCTCACCCACCACAAACTATGCAAGCTCATATTTACGCAACCCACGAAAGGGCGTGTGCCCCACTCTGCTCGTTCTTTCCAACCTTCCGTCAGCACGAATGCTGCCTTGGCTTTTATTCGCTAGACATTCACAGGAGTACCCTGGTTGTGTTTACGGATACTTACGGATCATTTGAGTTGGCGAGCTATCACACTGCACGTTGGCTTGTTGGCCAAACATATTAGTTTATCAGCCAAGTCCAATTTTCCTTACAATTGATTGAAAAATTACATTAAACTGGTTAGGATGGCTTGGGCAACCGTTTTATTGGCAGTTGCGTGACTGGCCTCTGGTGTTCCAAGCCACATATCTCACCAGTGTGAATGGTTTGTGGGTTTTGTGTTTAAAACAACTGGCCATACACGATAAGCCGAAGTGTGAAGGTAAATGCCTGCCTAGAAATGTTGATGTTGAGCCGACATGAACCAAAATGCACACAGATACATTAACCCAGAATGAGTCACAGTGTTCATAAATGAGGGCAGGTCTATTTCCAATTAAAGTGCAATTAAAGTGCAACTAAAATTCTTGCAAAACAATATAACATCTATAAAGGGAGGGTATAATCATGTTAACAACCACAGCCATCCAAAGAGAGAATAATTAAAAGAAACACCACGCTCACATCTGTTAACAACAATTCATGGTTCTGGGCATACTTTTTGGGAAATACAGTCCTAGTGATGTTGCTAAGGCAGAGTAATTGAGGTTTTGTGTTGCGAGTGGTGTGCTGTGTGGAGGGAATGGGCATGGGAATTAGCCGTGAAGCAGAGGACGGAGTGCAGGAAGTAAATGAGGAGAATTCTTTCATTGGCAACGTGGGGATTTCCCGACGAGGAAATATCAGCAAACAATAAACAACACTATTATAAGTTAACACTTCTACTCGCTCTAGTTTGTAGCTGTGCATGTTTGCAAAGATTCATATAAACAGCCGCTCTTACCAATTGACCAACTGGGAACACTAAACCCAGATGCACAACCATTATGCTCCACAACATTAACAATTCCTGAGTGGCCAACAGCTGGTACTGTCCGACACATTCCTAGGATTGCGCACTCACAGAAATTGCACTCGTGAAAAAACAGAAAATTAAATATATCCGTACACATGTTTCAACAGCAATGCTGACATAATATAAATTGCTCATGGTGAGTCAAATAAGTCAAGGTGTAGACCCGCAATTGTTTGCTCAAGCTACTCTTGGCAGAAGGGTCAACCACGAGGAGCCCAAGAGAACGTCTCCAGATGGTATTTGGTCTCCTCTTCCATGCCGGCAAGACTTCTTGGAAGAAGTGTCAGTACCTACACTTTATTCCACCCACACGCGATCGACCATCCGAATAACTGTCCTGTATTATTGACTTAAAGCTTTCGTGACTGCAGGAGTTCATATTATTTTGGTCTTTCGGTAAAGTCACGGAGATAGGTTCAAAGAAAATAACAAAAACCTACGACGTTTCGATCGCAACACAAGCGGTCGTCATCAGGAAAAGGGGGGTTAGCTTCTAAAGGCAAACTGTTCATAACCAAGCGGGTTTTCCTTAAAACCCTCTGCTGCTAGACCACCCAGATTGTATGGCTTACCAAAAATACCATTGACTCATGGCTTACCAAAAATACCATTGACTCACCCACCGACAAACTGGCCCGATTTCTGTCCGAGACCTTACAACCATTCACTGGTAAGACCACCTCAGCTGTACGTAACTCAGCTCACTTGGCATCGTTAATTAAGGACATCTCACTATCTCCAGGTGATTTGCTCGTTAGTTTCGATGTAGTCTCTTTGTTTACCAAAGTTCCTGTGCCTGACACCATTGCAATAATTGAAGATTTGGTCCAACAAGGACTGAATGCTGATGTACCAGCCCTGGTGAGACACTGCCTCACCAACACTTATTTCACCTGGAATGGAACATTCTACAAACAAGTTGAAGGTACCCCAATGGGTTTCTCCCTTATCTCCAGTTGTAGCCAATGTTTTAATGGAAAAAATTGAGACAGATGCCATCCAGGCATCCACTCTACGTCTGTTCTTGTGGAAGAGATACGTAGATGACACGTTTGTCATTTGGCCACATGGCCGACCAGCTCTGAACCAATTCCTCAACCACATCAATTCCATACACCCAGCCATCAAATTCACCATGGAGGTGGAAAAGGATAGCAAGCTACCATTCTTGGATGTTTTAATCGAAAAGAGACCAGATGGCTCAATGGTACACTCTGTCTACAGGAAAGCCACCCAAACGGATGCATCTCTAAAACCCGACTCCCACCACCATCCTTCCCAGAAGAATTCCCTCATCAAAACCTCTACGCTATAGAGCCCGATGTATTTCCGACATCACTTAGCCAGCGAACTGGAACACGTACACCAAGCTCTCAAGATGAATGGATATTCAGACTACACACTCCATAAAGCTATCAACCCAACCGTTGGGAAAGAACCATCTGAGGACCCAATCAAAACCATCACCTTGCCATACATAGCAGGGGTTACCAAAAAACTTCCAAAATCATGAGCAAACACAAGATCCAGGTTCGATTTAACACAGTGCATAAAATTCGTAATCTGATCCCATCTGTGAAGGATGTGGTCCCCGACATGCAAAACCCAGGCGCTCGGCGATCTTACATTGACATGCTAATTTTTACCTGGCAGCCCTTTGATTGGTGGAAAAACCACCACCGCCGCAGTCGCTGCCCACCACTTACATTAACATTGGCTGCTGACATTTGGGCCACGCCCATTTCAAACCTTTATAAACAGTTTGTCTTTAGAAGCTAACCCCCCTTTTCCTGATGACGAACGCTTGTGTTGCGATCGAAACGTCAAAGTTTTTTGTTATTTTCTTTGAACCTATCCTACGTGACTTTACCGAAAGACCCAAAGAATATGTCCTGTATTCATTTATACTGCTGGGTGGACAGAGGCGGGCGATTTAAGACACTTGTTCCGTTGTTTCAACTGCCGAGCCAAGATATATAATCGAACTGGTGACCTCTGGATTGCAGGTCCAGCGTGCTGCTAACCATTACACCACAGAAAACATCCATGGCGAAGCAGAGGATCATGAATAGCCAACATGCATGGACACCGCGAGTCCCTTACTTGGGTTGGGCTGCAGCACCACCTCCGTCTGCCGCATGATCTTCTCCGTCCAGTTCTTGGTGCTGTCCGCTCGCGTCATCAGGTTCTCAAAGTGCGCGTCGAGCTCGGTGCGCTCCGCCCCACCGAGCTTCTCCTCTGTAAACTAATGGCAGCGAAACCACACGGGTGAAACCGTTTAATCGCCTTCACTATTGTGGCCGCGCGTATACGGTGGAGTCAATATGTGGTGGTGGCATGTTTTAATGCACTTGTTTGATTTAACGTGTCATCATATGCCAGTGTGCGTGGAGATACCCCAATGCACTGCAATGTTGAGGCCAAATTTGCAGCTTTAAACAGACTGTTCTCCTATAACGTGGTAATTGCATTCCTAAAGAACACCACATTATTGAAAAATCGCGTTAAAATAAATTCTATATAATACAGGGTAGGATCTGCGATGAGTTCCGTATGCAGGCCGAACAAAGACTGAGGTGCGTGGGTAGCATCTAGAAACATTCAGCAGCATCTCGCCTTGTGTAATGCTACACAGAGGCAGCCGTACAACCGCTTATTCCTACTCGCCCGACATAGTTCTGTTCACGCCTTATATTTGAATTCGCATCCGGGTTATTAAAAATGGTTCCCTAATACATTCATCGTGTTATATCCAATCTGTGTTATAAAAACACGCGTTATAGGAGAACAGACTGTACTCAGTATGGCATGCATCTATCTACTGCTGAAGTGAAAATCAACTTCGATTGCAGATCACAAATCTCTGTTTTGGTGTCTAAAGTGCATATTTGTATCTCTCAACTTTGCAAAATACACTTGTTGTCTCCGGGAGCTTTACCTGCTAAAATAAAGTCAATAGTCTGTATCTGTTGAGATGGTTAGGACACCCTTAATGGCATATACAAGGACCAAACAAAATGAGTACAGAGCAGGGAAATAGAGGCACAGGATAAAATAAACTCCATGGCAGCTGTACAGAACTGAAGGATACAGGATGACAGCAGCACATGCCTATAGTTATGCATGCATGGTAGTGCACGCCTGTGATCAAATTCTTTGGAAGTAGGGTTAATGGATCATGCAGAGTTCATTGTGTGTGAAACATTCATCTGCCATGGCAGCAAGGTGGCAGTACGTGACACTACGGCATGTAAATTTCTGACATAGAGTCTATGGAATTTGTAGGTGATCAAGGTTCCCACAAACATAAATATTTACTGAAAAAACAGCCTGATCAAGACACTTCCAAAATAGTTTTGCAAATGGGTTGAGTCCTTCCTTGCGAAAGTCAAAGTCATCAGCCATGATCTATCCACTGCTGTATGAAGGCTTCTCCAAGCCATTCCAATCCTCACTCTTGCAATGCAACAACCCATCTTGCTCCGGCACATGAGCTTATCTCATTCTTCGATTCAGGTGGTGGTTATCCTCTCTGGCATGTTCCCTTCTTTGGCTGCCAGTCCATTGTCAGTCTTGACCACTAGCTATCATCCCCCTTCCAGCTAGCCTACTTAATTTTTCTCAAGTCAATTATGCGTAATTTTCATTCGCTCTCAGATCCATTTTCTGTCTCTCAGTATAATTCCAAGCGGGCAATTTTCAATCCTTTATTACACACTTTTCAGCTTGCACTTAATTATCAATGTTTCCAATCCACGTATCATAGCAGGTAATATACACTGATTTAAAAAAAGTTATTTCGGCATATTGGTATGTTGATTTTCATGATTAAGTTCAATTTTCCATAAGCACCCCAGCCTGCCCTCGCCCACCTATTTTATTTCAGCATTTTGGTCCTGGCCCACTTTCTGTACAGTAATTGCCCAAGGCATAAGTACATACATTGGGAACAGAATAACAGAACATGTACAGGCCAACCAACCTGGGTAAAAAGCTATTATCATTACTATAACATGCATCCAGCAGCGGGTTAAAGAAGGAATATGATGAAATAGTTGATGCCTGCAGATACTGCTATATATGAAACACATTGCTTGGGATATTACTCACAGTAGCATTCGTTCCTTTGGTGCAGTCAACTGTGAATGGGCTTGGAGCTCAGGTCTATTAAACATGCTGTGCATCTGCGCTGAGATGCATTCAATTTTCGCTGAGCACAACTGGGAGCCTGAGTGCATGCTCTCCGAAGAGGTGTTTTCTCAGCGCTCCGACACGGTGCATTACACCCAGTCCACCCAGCTATCTCATAACATTGCTTTTAACGCCAAGTGATGTAATATGGGCTGAGAGGCAGGCTCTGAAATATTAACACCCCATTTCATAATCAATATTTTACCATCAACAGCCAGCAGTTATTTTTTTTAATGCGCACACAGTTCATTATATAGTTATTAAAAACATCGCAAGGTGAATCATTATTAGTGTCGCCAGCCTACAATGAAAGTCCCCTTCAGGGCCCCATTCAGAGCTACAATGAGCAAATATGTTCCTCAGCCACTATGCTCATAGAAATTTGTGAGAGATATGCACAAATTTTCACTACAAACTATCTCACAAACTTTAACTGCAAAGTAAAAACAATAAAACGGGTAACCTTGGTGATGGTTATTAAACAAATATGCACTTAAATTTCGATTTAAAGCTTTCGTGACTGCAGGGATTCATCTTCTTGGTTCTTTCGGTAAAGTCACGTAGAAGGGAAGTAATAAAATAATCAAAATTAAACATAATAAAATAATTCTCACGACGTTTGCACTTATGAAAATCAAACCATATTAATATTCTTTGGGTCTTCCGAAAGCCAGGCAGATAGAAAAAATAATCAAAATAATAACAATATCACGACGTTTCAATCGCAAAACAAGCAATCGTCTTCAGGTGAAAAAAGAGTGGGAAATCTGCCGAGACAGGCTGTTTATAAAGGTTTAGAAATGGGCGGGGCAGCTAATGTTAATGTAGGCGAGGTCTCCGTAACCTGCAGTAGGTCTACACCAGGTGTCGGCAACCAAAATAACAAGAAGAGCCATTTCTTTCCAATTCGGTACAAAATTCAGTATTTCAAGAGCCGCAATGCATCTGAGTACATACTGTACATATCGTCAAGAAGCAGCCTGTAAAGAGCCGCATGCGGCTCCGGAGCCGTAGGTTGCCGACCCCTGGTCTACACCAATCAAAGAGCTGTTTATAAATGGTTTAGAGATGGGCAGGCAGCTAATGCCAATGCGGGGGGAGGTACTACGGAGCTGTGGGGGGTGGCCATTGTATTGTGAGAGATTAGCATGTCAATGTAAGAAATTTTAAGCTCGGGGAGAGCTCGAACAACGCAATGGCCACATGGAGGTGGAAAAGAATGGCAAGCCGCCATTTACTAACACAGCTAACGGTAGCTGTGTTAGTGAATGTAACTCAGAGAGTCGAAAATAACTGCTAGGTACGATAGGAACATCACAGCCAGTTATGACCTAAACTGTTTAATAACGTCCTTCCAATGATTGTTCAATTTGTACCCATCTTCTCAGTTGAAATTGTGTCTGTGTTGAAATATCTGGATGGGTTCATGAACGAATCTTTGTTGATAGCCAGTGGGTTTGTAGAGTACCTTCGTCTTGGCAAAATCAATTTCGCGTGTGCCCACAGCGTTAAAATAATGATCAGCCACGGCTGAGGTATTGGTCCTACCGTGTTTCAGATCTGCCTTATGTTCACGGACCCGGTCCGAGACATGTCGCTTAGTTTCCCCAATGTAACTGCTGCCGCGGACACAGCTTAGTTTGTAGACACCGGGGTATTGCATGTCGGGGATCGCACCCTTCACAGAAGGGATCAAATCACGATTTTTATGTACTGTGTTGAATCGTACCTGGATCTTGTGTTTGCTCATGATTTTGGAAATATTTTTGGTGACCCCTGCTATGTATGGCAAGGTGATGGTTTTGATTTGGTCCTCAGATGGTTCTCTCCCCAGGGTTGGGTTGATAGCTTTATGGATTGTGTCGTCCGAATATCCATTCCTCTTGAGGGATTGGTGTACGTGCTCCAGTTCACTGGCTAGGTGGTGATGGTCGGAAATACAATGGCCACCCCCCACAGCCAACTCCACTAACACAGCCACCGTTAGCTGTGTTAGTAAATGGCGGCTTGACATTCTTTTCCACCTCCATGTGGCCATTGCGCTGTTCGAGCTCTCGCCAAGCTTCAAATTTCTTACATTGACATGCTAATCTCTCACAATACAATGGCCACCCCCACAGCTCTGTAGTACCCCTCCCCCCCACATTTGCATTAGCTGCCCAGCCCATCTCTAAACAATTTGTAAACAATCTTGATTTGAAGCTTTCATGACTGCAGGAATCCATATTCTTTGGTTCTTTCGGTAAAGTCACGTAGGTATAAAATAAAATAAATCACGACGTTTCAGGCGCAACACAAGCATCCGTCATCAGGTGGGAAAGCATGGTCTGTTGCTAAACCTTTATAAACAGCCTGTCTCGGCTGATTTCCCCCTCTTTTTTCACCTGAAGATGATTGCTTGTGTTGCGATCGAAACGTCGTGATATAGTTATTATTTTGATTATTTTTTCTATCTACGTGGCTTTACCGTAAGACCCAAAGAATATGAATTCCTGCAGTCATGAAAGCTTTAAGTCAAGATCAAACCATATTATTGCAACAATGACTTCAATGTTCACACTTTCACAATGTGGTTTTATTAATACACTTATAAGCAAAGAATGCAAAACCCCAGTTTAGGATGCTTATAAGTGACAAACCTGCACACCACTATCTGCCAATTTCATTCCAAATGGCTATGAAATAATCAATTTACATTCTCGTGTGTTTACTATGCACCGCACAGCATGTCAACAACACTGGGTAATTTGTGGAATATATGTATACTGTACGTCAATATCGACACATTTATTTAAGTAACAGAGTTATGAACCACATTCACGTAGCGATACAAAAAATAATTATTTACAATAATTGTATTTTGAAAACTGGGATATGGGTTATGCAAAGGTGCACTATATTCTGATCTTGTAAATATGGAATAGTGTGTTCACTTAATGTATTTGTCAAAAATTGGAAAATAAAAAACAGAGGCTTTACAAATAATAGGATTGTTTGAAAACCAATGTCAATACAAGCATAATGGAAGTAGAATTCACCTCCATGAAATTGGCACCGAAGGCAAAAGGGCAAAAATGTGTGCCATGGGCTAAACAGACACAATAATACCATGCTAACCAAGGGGTGTAGAGTTTCCCTGCGGGCTCAGAGAAGATCCCTTGTGTGTATTTTCCACACAGAGCACAGTAACTACACATAGTATGTATGTTTGTTGAACTTCTTTCGCACAGTCCATAACTAACCGTGCAAGGCGGAGGTTTGGGGGAACGACAACAAACTAAACACAAATAGCAGTGATAAAGAAATTCTATTTCAATCTGGCATGTATATGCAATATATAAACAAAATATATTGCTAAACGTGAATTTATGAATGCGCAATGTTGACTACCATCCATCACATACACGCATGAATGTGTACGTTACATATGCTACAAGGTGTTAAGTCGATTAAAAGTGGGTAAATGTAAGAACACGTCTGTGAAGTTTCACAAACCGAAATATCATTTATATGCCTTCACTGGGCAGACTACTAAGTTTTCACTATCCTTTGCCACACAAAACAGGCAGTAATAAATACTTAGGTTACTGAAATATTTACTGCACTGCAGCCGTAAATAAATCCTGATGGGACAATGCTTCTTTATGCACGTTGTTTTATATTACACTACGTAACACAATTTTCGTTCCTGGGTACTAAGTGTTATTTTTTTATTGCCTATACCTAAAAAGTATCGAAAATGGCTATTATTCCCCACAAACTTTGCTTTTGTGACCAGGACTTTATGAAAATGAAAGACATAAATGCACACGTTTTCTCATTGAAAATAGGTAAATTTCAAAATATCACTGTCCTGGTCACAAAAGCAAAGTTTGTCGGGAATAATAGCCATTTTCTATACTTTTGAGGCATAAGCAATTTGGAAATAACACTTACTACCCAGGAACAAAAAAAAATGTGTTACAGAGTGTTATTAATGGAGTGGATGATTAACTTTGCTTTTGTGTCCTGGTCACAAAAGCAAAGTTTGTGAGGAATAATAGCCATTTTCTGTACTTTTGAGGCATATTAGGAAATAACACTTACTACCCAGGAACCTCATTTTTTGTTTGTTACAGTGTTATTAATCACACATTTCCAAAAGCACTACAATATCCTCTTGTGCACCTCTTTATTTCTGCCCACAATAACTGTCTTAGGTATATATATCAAATCAGGGAATATTACTTATAGACAATCAAATACAATTTACAACAAAAAATTGCTCAAATAAGCAAGTATAGGGCCATGCGTGGAATTACACTGACAAGAGACACACTTGGGTTAGAGAACAAAAGCAAGTAAGATATATTATGCTGACTGTTAGGAAAAGTCGGCTTGGGCAGGATATGTCGCTAGTGGTTGAGAATAACGATGGCCAAGGAAGGGAACACGTTCAAGAACACTCGAGAGATGGAGTGATGAAATCAGCTTATATGCAGGAGCTAGATGAATTGTTTCATTGCCAGACTATGAGAGATGGTGATGACTTTGGGGGGGAGGGGAGGGGGCAATGGATGGACAGATAGATCATGGATGATGGAGCAGTGCTATGAATCAATATGCATTCCAGAATACTGTGCTCCAGTTGTGAAAATTACAAAATAACTCTACTCCTATGACTTGCATATTGATACATTAATTTATTGCATACAATTTTCAGGGGAACTGAATGTTGATATACAGTAAAATGTATATTAGTAAGAATCAAATGTTAATGCGTCTAATTACAAAACCACATTACGCAGATTCTCCTAGGCACAACATTTAAACACGACTAGATGCCATCTTTTAAATTAATGTGTTTCATTATCTATATATATATTATTACATATACAGTGCACATAACACTCTTTATCAGGAAATAACCAAAATCTACTTGAATAAAATACATAGGACAAAACCACATTAAAAATGTAAGGAATGTACAGTGGTCAGCTGGTTTGCATAAGGTTATATTTTATCCCATTTTAAAATACAATTTCAGTGAGATTTTTTGGTCAGAGGTGGGGTTATTTGTTAATTTGCATTTCATAACATTTAAATCGACAAAGTAAACAAATTACAATACTGCGTTTCCATTCCAACTACTTTTGAAGACATAATAATGAACATAAATTCAGATCACATCTTTATTATATACATTCTCAAAATGTTGGTAAAAATCACACAAATTCACGCTGGTGACTTTTATCTTGCAATTCGTTGTGGCTGTCTACTCTGATCATGTGGCTGTTAAATTCGTCATGGGTTTCCGTCCAAAGCTCATGACAAACGTCAGATTCAAAGTTTGGACATTTAACTTCAAAAGCCACACACAATCGAGGTCCTAAAAATTACACCTTCACCTACATTTAATTTCCCACGTCACATAGGCGCATCGATCAATTTACTCGCCTGCGATTGGCCACAGCGCGCGCGTGCCAAGATCGCACCAATCACATCAAGCAAAACAAAGCCCTCCCACTTATGCGATCTAGCAAATACAGCGCCCCGATTGCATGTCACCAAACGGCCACATCAGCAGCAGCGACTTAAAACTACAAGTTCAACACCGCGCAAAATCGTCTTTATTCCCAACATTCACTTTAAAACGCCACTCGGTCACGCGCACGTCAAACATTTTCAGGTTTCCGCGACGTTTTTGTGGTGAGGCCTGGACGCCTTCGGGGCCTTACGGTTTTCCTAAAAGCGTCCCATAATTTCGGGGGCAATGCCGGGGGGGAAGGGGGAGGGGGGAGGCGCGGCGGTCATCACCTGAACGGCGCGGGTGAAGAACGTGCCAGCGTCAGACGCTAACTTCTTCATGTTGAAGTCCATGGCGAGGTGGCTCACGGGTTAAGCGCCGCAGACGTGCATGTAAGATCCCACCGACCGCAGGCGATAGCAGTTCAAAATGTAAACGCGGTGCCGGTGTATGTGTGATGTTTTTTTCTTTTTAATCGCCTTGAAGTATTTCCGAGTCCAATGGGCGCGAGGCCTTCCCCCTCCCCTCAACACGCACAGGACATCCGGGGTGGGCAGACAGAAGCCTTTCCTCCCCCCACGCCCCCCAGCTGTTGTGCCATCCACAGCCTCTGTTTTCAAACAATGCATTGTGTTTAAATTTCGATTTAAAGCTTTCGTGACTGCAGGGATTAATCTTTTTGGTTCTTTCGGTAAAGTCACGTAGAAGGAAAATAATAAAATAATACAAATAATAAAATAAAATTCTCACTTTTTTTATTACTTTTTTCTTACTCGATTAGCTGAGCCTTCTTATCTGGGATTTTGTTGAAGGATCTCAAAGTTGTGTGGAATCCCTCCCCGTAGAGGCGGTTAAATTTCGATTTAAAGCTTTCGTGACTGCAGGGATTCATCTTCTTGGTTCTTTCGGTAAAGTCACGTAGAAGGGAAATAATAAAACAATAAAAATATAAAACAAAAATTCTGATGATGATTGCTTATATTGCAGTCGAAATGTTGTGATAATTTTTGTTGTTTTATATGGTTGGGGGCATGTTATTTTCAGATCCCCGAATATTTATCTCCATAGAGTGGGGTTAATCCGGTGAGCTGCAAAGCGCTTTTTTCCTACAGATGTCCAGTTATTTATAAAACATTTTGACATATAAATGCCACGAGAGAGCGGGTGCTTTTAGAAAGCTTAAGTTATCCGAGTTTTTTTTTTATTCATGCTCTGAATTATGTTTGGTTGTGTTTGCTATTTTAATATTTCTACTTGCTTCGTTATTCAACGTATTTTTGTTTCGTGTCATTGACTTGCCGTTTTGCTGACCTAGGTTACACCTTGCACATGTGGATATCCTGGTCACTTGTGTTCTCATCTTCTTTGAACGCAATAAGTTGAAACACAAGATTGGGGCCACACAATGCAGACCAGACGGGGGGCGGTTTGGACGTTGAGAGCACAGCAGTGCTGACAGCTAAAATAAGGCAGACTTCTACGAAACAGATATGACTGTAACACATTTCATACGACACGTGACTTACGTGAAACAGACGAGATCGTACATGTGAGAGTAGATGAGACTGTACAGAAAACACAGACAAGACGCTATAAGGCAATTACATCGAATAATTAATCAAATTCCGAAGGTGTTTGGGGCAGGTTTGTAGGGGTTGCATAGGGGCAACAAAAAGCCCTAACACTGCAAAAGTCTCCCGCTTGTAGGATGGCAAGGTTGAACTTCTGGCCACGGAGGTCACTCAGCCCATCATCCATAAACTGGGGATTTGCAAAGTTGAGCAGAGTACAAGATCGCATGCGTAACTTGCTGGGGACTGAGGTATAGAGATGGATAAGTGAACAGGTCAGATATGTAAACATCAATAGAAATAGTGACACCACGCACAGATACTTCGCTGGGTGTGGACAGTTAATTGGTCAGGGCCTACATGTAATGGTCAACAGTTACAGCCTGGCTTAGAGCGTCTTTTATTCTATAACACATTGAAAACATCAATTGGATGGTTATAAAATATACACATCCTTGCAAAAAAAAACTAATCCTAATGACCTTGATAAAAAAAATGGCTGTTTTTCTCTGCAGATGCCTTCAGGATATCGTGATTGAGAAAGAAGGCAAAATAAGCTTTGGGTGACAAATGCCATCTAATTACACCACTAACAAGGAACCGTAATGTGAAAACAATGCATACATCACAGTACACCGACTCCAGTGGGTTGTTAAGGAGAAAGAATTCCGTTTTGGATAATGGGAAGTTATTTTGCTTGTTAATGGTAACCCAGTTAATGATTGTCCTATGGGGAGACTGGTCCAAACCATACAAATGTGGCTTTTTCACCATTGATTCAGGATCTACAACAGGGACGAGCACCACCCCAATGCTGTTTCGAGCATGCCATATAGAATTAAGATGCTTCCATTGCCTATTGGCTTCAAAGTATTGTGCCGTGTAATAAAAATGCTATCTTTAACATGTTTGACCCAAATGATATTTGGCAAAAATGTCTGTTTCATATTTGACAAAAATGTGACAATGTCTTTATTTACCAGCAACGCTGGAAATCACCTAGGCGATGCGTTACTGTTGTTTAGGCAGGATGCGAAACTGGCGCAGAATGTTACTGTCTGTTGTTTAATGGAAATGATGTTATTGTTGCCAGCACTTGGGGAAATGAAGAAATTATTACGCTACACGTGCAGGCTTACTGCTCTAATGGTGGGGATTCCTGATTTGTGATGAGAAAGGGTGATGCTGGGGCTCAGTGGGGTATATTCAGGGACACACTGGGCATGATTTCCCTCGTGAAAAAAAATACCATTTCAGTATTTTTCCATAAAAAATACATTGCGACTTTCACTTAAAATACGGGCAAAAATCCCATTTGCCAAGATGGGATTCAAATTATTTGGTAATCTGTCCTCCCAAAAACATATTGGTGCGTGATCATGTGATGCAAATTCCCATTTCCTATTCTTAGGTTTTTTCGGTTAAGCCATTTCCTCCCACGGACACACTTGTGAATATAATAAGGACACTTTTCACTATCATAAATACGGTATCATCTCTTTCAAATACAAAGATGTTATTTTACATAAAAGATGTGTCCTCAAATGCTGTCAGCTTTACTCGCTTATTTGTTTTCTAATGATCCCAAAGCACTCAACGGTGTGTTGTGATGTTATCACCAGTAATCTGCATGCAATAGGCACTTCCACTAGCTGCATAGACAGAGATACGCATCTGCCTGTGAGTGATTCCAGGCACGTGGCTTGAATACAAACAATCGTACATAATGCAAGGCATTATGGGCTGAATAACTCATAAAGGAGCAAGCCAAGTATTGAGCTGCAGCAATGAATGGCATAATGGCTTTCAAAGGCAGCATTGTATTGAACAAGGGACACTGTTTTATACACGGCTCTTCAAATAATGCAGTCCCGTATTATACTTTGTATTTTTTATCTCTTGTCTCGGCTTAAATTTGTGGCCAGATTTAAGTCACTGTATGCAGTATTGATGATAGAATAAAATTGTAATTAGTCGTGCATTGAAACATTATAGACCGCCATAACTTTTCTTTGTATGCGGCTTGTGCGATTGACTCGAAGCCAATTTTATTTATTTCCCAAGTTTTTGGGATTACAGTAATTAAAACATCTGCAGCTGCTGTGGTGTTAATATAGTTTTTCAAAAATTAACCCTTTTGCATAAATAATTTCATCTGTTATGCATATTTACATTGCTACATTGAAATATACACTACTCTCATTAAACAAATTTCAGCACCGTAACAAACTTATTTTCAAGAAAAAATCCTTTTATTTAATGTTGCATTATCTCCAATTTCCAGTAAAAAAACAACACTTTATTTATCAGATTTGCATACCCAGCCCGAAGCTTTTTAACATTGTTATTAAAATACACAATTGACACCGAGATAGGAAAACGTAGGCACCGTTGAATTCTCTGCATACATTACGTTATATAAATGCGTATTGAAATCATGTAAAACAAGTGATTTGTACTACATAGTTCTGCGTGGTTGTAAGTGCTATCCTATAAGTGAACCGCCGTCACCCCAAACCAAGCAGTTTAAAAAAAACCACCATTTCCACAAAGCCCATCATGCCAGCCATAATTCATAAGAGACGACATGCGAATTGTGGCCTCTTTGAATGAAAGTACACAGTACAGTGGTAATTGCCTACTTCTTTGCAGTACTGTAGTCCAATTTACTCTCTTGACCATGCTTAAACATCGAACCCAACCTCGTGCCCTTGGCTTACTGTGGTGGGACTTTTAGCGAGTTTCGCTGGAACCGTTTATTGCGATGACGTTATGCTGTTCAGGCACGTCTGGTCCCTCCCAGTCTGCATCCTCTGGATTTGAAACACTGGGGGGTGGGGGTTGAAGAAAAAAAAATCCAGCAGCATATGTTGCAATGAATTAGGAAAATTACAGTAATGTTACGAACAATTATAATCATTTACATATCTGTAATTCCACTGCTGGATGAAGGCCTCCGTGCACTGTGTCATCATAGGGATTGTTTGACGATATTGGTCAGTGTGGGTTGGTGAAGGAGGGGAGAGTACGGACTGGTTTAGATATCACGCTCGACTGTTAGCCTTGACCGGGAATCAATCTCTGGTATCCAGGTTCATAGCACAGTGAGTGAATCAAAACCGAAATCTTCATTTATACTGAAGGAATCCAGTGAGCTATGAAGGTCATTGTTACAGATATCCAGTAAACAGCTGGATCACAGCTCTTTGCTGTTTATTGTTATCGTTCAATTTTTTACATGTTTATTCTGACGTAAAAATATATACAGCAAGTCAAATATTTCCCACCGTGGAATTACATTTCGCATTTCTTAAAGCCGCGAATGTTCATCTCACCACCAGACTTTACAGGCCATCGATCAGGGAGAGTTCAGCATCGTCTTCAGCCTTTGGAGGAACCACGACCTTTGGGGAGACTGTGCTCTTCGGAGGATCCACGTTCTTTGGGGCGTATGTGTTCTTCGGAGGATCGCCCACTTTTGGAGGATCGCCCACTTTTGGAGGATTGGCCACTTTTGGCGGTTCAGGTTTCCTAATCACAAATGTAAAATATGGTTATTGCAGTACTGAACGTGACTTCCTGCCCGATCACTTTTGCACTAATAAACTATGCAGGAACGCTGCAATTTATAGATTAGAATTCATAGATTCGCTTCTGCGTCGGTAGTTAATGCAAAGAAATACTGTGTTCATCTTTAGAGAAGTTAAATTTGAAGAAATGAGCCTTATAAAATATCACTGTTACTTGGCAAGGGTCCAACTTTAGAGATAATGTCACAGATGTTATTGTTCTTCAGGGTATTAAATAGAGTACTGTCCATTTTTGTTAAAGCTCAAACAATGTATAAGAGAGAGCACGTTTTAACGCATGATGACGGACGCTTGTGTTGCGCCCGAAACGTCGTGATTTATTTTATTTTTATACCTACGTGACTTTACCGAAAGAAGCAAAGAGTATGGATTCCTGCAGTCACGAAAGCTTCAAATCAAGATCA